GAGACGCGGGAGCGTCTCGGCGTTTTTTCGCGCGCGCGCCAGGATGCGGAAAACACGACCGCCCGGACGTTGTTTGAGCGACGGCGATCGATATATCGCGCGCCGCCAACAGCATCTGCGACCCATTGGCTCGACAGCGCTGCTCGCCGCGACATCTGAGTCGGAACACTTGCCGACGGCTACGTGCGCGGCCGCCGTTTTTACCGTACGCAGGCTACGGATATTCTCCGTTCTCTCCCATCTCACCGTCGAGCAGCGAATTGCTTTGCTGACGAGTGGTACTGTGGGGGGCAAATTATTAAAATTCGCATGGGAATTCAATCGGCGCTCGACACTGCAGTCGAGGACTTACGGTTTCGCGATTGGGGGATCGGTGCGTCAATTTCGACAACAGTCAAAACCTCAAATTCTACTCTTAATGTAAAACAAACTAGCCGTTCTTTAATGTTGAAGTTCGTCCGTACGTCACCGCGAAACTTGTTGATTTCTCACGAAGCGCGCGCTAAAGTAATACGCAAGCGCTCGGACGATCGCGCCGAAGGAAGAACAAAAATAAACACGAGGAAGAAGGAAGGAGCAGCGATAAGCCCCTCGGAGCTAGAGGAGGCAAAGGCGTGAGCGCCGGCGGGGATGCGCGTCGATTTTCGCGAGCGCGCGGGCAACAGTCAGGGATCCGAGCCCCGTTCGAGAGCTCGTCGCGGCGCGCGCGCGCGCAACGTCTGCGAGATCGCGTAAGTGCGACGCGCGGAATACATTTGAATGGAAGCCGCGCCGCGACGACACGTGCCGTCGTCATTCCCGGAGTCCGCCGGCTGCTTCTCTCTCTCTCTCTCGTCGCTGACTTTTTTGCGAAGAGCAAGCGGTTTTTATACTTTGCGAGCACGTATGGACGCGACCAAATTCCATCGTCTCTCTCTCTCTCTCTCTCTCTCTCTCTCTCTCGGGCAAGATTATTCCACGGGTGTACTCATTATGTCCAAAGATGCGTGGTCATCTCTTCGCTCGATCGTCGCGCTTTGCCTTCAGCGCACACATAGTAGAAAAGCGATTACGCTGCTTTTTGAACGACGTGTCTTGTTCGCTCCGTCGAGAAAGAAAAAAAAATAAGTCACGTAATTCATTACGCTTCTTCATTGTTTCTAAGCGCTCGCTTGCTTTACTTGTTTTCATTTCTTTATTTGCGAACTTCCAAAATTATTTATTTTGCGTTCCGAAACACATACGCGTGCGTGCGTTGACGCAAGGCAAATGAATTGGAGTCAGCCGAGTGGACAAACGAAAAAATAACAATTTATATAGAAGTCTAATGAAGCGCGTCATACACGATAGGTCTGTATCTCAAAATCACACGCGCGTGAAACGAGTTCGTTTAGTGTTGGATAATGCCATTCTATCAAAGCCACACTCGCAAAGAAAAAATACAATTATTTCGAAATCGTAGGCCCGCAAGAAAAAAGGGAGAGCGGGTGACGTAAAAAATTCCTTCTAACAACTTCCGCGCCGACGCGATTGTTATTTAGGATTGTTAATGGCATCGAAAAAGAAAAAGAGAGAAAGAGAGAGAGAGAGAGAGAGAGAGAGAGAGAAGACAAGTCGCGGTGCGCTTTTCCGGCTCGGGAGTTCGTTGACTTTGACCCGCGCGAGGTCAAGATCGAGCGGACACCTCGTGCGCGCGGCCGCCGCGTCTGCGATTAGTTATCGAGGAGAGCACGACCCATACGTTACAACCCCGTTTCACCGACGACGAGACGAAGATACGCGCGCTGCCACTCGCGGGAGTCCCCAGCGCGACGCTTTATCGCGCTAATTATGCCGACTTTGAGGACGCGGCCATTCCCACGCCGGCTGTCTGTCAGTTCGGACGCCTCGCGAACGACTCAACGAGCTACCTTTTTTCTCTTTTCGCTGCCGTTCGCCCGGCAGCTACGAGGACCTCTTGACCGGTCACCGGGAAACGAGCGCAGTGGAAAAGAGAGAGAGAGAGAGAGAGAGAAAGCCCACGCGAAGGTATCGTGCGCAAGACATGTGCTCGCGGGCGTGCGCGAAAGCTCGACTTTTCGGCACCGTTAGCGGGAGCGTTTACCGTATACGGCTACGACTTGCTCGCGGGACACGGCACTTGGAATAGGCTCTCGCAGAGACCACGGTGTTAACGGAAAAGGGCGTCGATTGATAATTGTGTGGTTCCATCAAGGCGGAAGTACTCCGCGGAGGCAAACGCGATGTCTGTCGGTGAACAAGACGCTGTACGCGTCACGTAGAGCGCAAATAATGATCGAGCGTAGATTGGTTTTGCATTGTTAATGATGCGCGCGACCCCTTAGCTACATGAAATTCTTCTGCTCGTGGCTTGCTAAGTACCTTCCTGCTTGGGTGTCTCGCTCCGCTATTTCAAAGTTGTGTCACGTCTAATATGTAGTGGCAATCAAGATGAAGCTTGCTCAATCTTTTTTATACCGTAGTACTATAATCCTTGAGTATTGTAATTTTTGTGTAGATCTCTTTAATATCAACATGTTTGTTTATCTCTCTCTCAAAAATTATTCCAACAAAGATATCTTTCTTTATCCTCGATTGTCAAGTCTCGAGTATTCGTGTTTGAAATCCACAGCCTTTGTGAAAATTTCTTTCGATTCGCACTCAAATCAAAGTGTCGCTTTGCGAATTCACAATAATATTCTTATTTGAACTACTCAATAGGCTCTTCGTTTCTTGCTAATAAAAACTACGAAAGTCGACTTCGAAAAGAGACGACTCGATAACATAGATTTAGAATGGTCGTTGTATGTTTACGTCATTATCGTGTAACACCTGCGCAATTATAAAACACCCAACCGAATGTTTATTCTGGAAGCTTGATCAGCTCTGACACGCGTGTTACGGTCTTGCGCTCTACCAATCCAAGTTGCGAAGACTCTGTAGCTACTAAATACTGGGTGTTTGGATTTTATCGTGCCTCATTCCCCTGGTCGCATCGTATACGGCAAATTCGACCAAGGATACGGAGCCTGACATCGTCATGTTCTTCGGATCGGTGGTCAGCGTGGTGACGTTCTGCTTGGCAACATCGCGGCGGAGCCCGACGCAGTCGCAATTTTGAAAGTTTACTCGCGCCGAGATATGAACTTCGTTCTGCTTTGCGTCGGTGAGTGCGCGGAGAGCAGCGAATCGTGGACGCCACGGCCCTTCGTAGGTGGTGTCGTTCGGCTCTACGTGACGTTCCTCTACGTTGCCACCGCCGGCCTTTCGTGAGCAGCGTCAACCACCTATGCGGAATGTCCGAAACCGCCGTCGTGCGAATTACGCCACCCTCATACTTTTCGTCCAGTTACAGATTGGGCAGGTTGACGCACGCCGATAAAACAGCCCATAAAGGGCAAAAAGTCTCGCGATGCACACCATATTTTGCCGTAGAAACCATTCCCCTTCTCATTCATCTTCTCAAGCCTTTCACCTTTGTTTTAGAAATTTTCGCGCTGTGCAGTGGCTGTTCGGCTCGACGCTCTTTTTCATATAGACGTTCGTTTTCTTGATCCTGACGTCGTTCATTTTCGACGTAATTACGTAATCGAAACTGAAAAGGATCAGTTGACTGACTGTTCGGATTTTTCCGCTACTCAATTTATCTACAATATAGAAATATAATGTTTCCCGAATATTTATTCTACAAAAGTTACCGGGGAGCAACGGATTATCGAGTACTGGAATAAAGCTTTTGCTCAGTTTCCAAAATTACATCTGTTTAGATATTTCATAAAATGATACTTACTATCGAATGAGGCTGCGGTGGTACATTGAGCATCGTAATATGACTGTCATTGGAGAATTCCACCTAACTATAATTTCTTTTTCTATAAAACACTCCGCCTTGTATATTGTGGCCTTTCTTCAATCTGTTTATTCTCATTTATACGCAGATCATCAAATTGTTCTGTTCCTTCTCTTGCGTGCTGCGATATTGCCAGAAGAAAGTATGATCCTGTGCAATGCGCAACGGAAGCAATGTAAATGACGTTGGAAATAATGTATGGAATATGAAATGTTGCCTTTGATCAATAAACGAATATCCTATTAATAAAAACATGTCATTTATCTCTTCATGAAATCACAACAGTGCTGGTTTGAAAGATATTCGAAGTCATCATAATAATCGCTAGTGAGTAACCGTTGTATAAACCCGTTTCTATAAACGAGGGGGAAAAAGGCTACAAAAAAACGCTTTAAAAAACAAAAAAAGAACCGTTTAAGTAAAAAAGGAAAACTTAAAATTTATAAAAACTCGGGATGTACACATATATACAAAAAAAAGGGATTTAAATAATGACCGTTTGAATGCTTCCTCTTTAAGGAAGAAAAAGGCGTTACGATCGTTTCGCGTGATGGGCACAAATATTTGAAAGCTTCTATCTAATGACCCATTGAACGGTGGAATCGAAGAGCGTGTGCGTAATATGAACATTCGGCGAAGAAGCGAAGCGAAGTGAAGTGCTGTGGCTTTATTATTTTTTTTGTTTACGAAACTGCTCACATATAACATTCAGCTCATTGATTCCTCGGATGATTTGTCAGGTGAATAGAATAAGATTTTGCGTGGTTCGGTAAATCGATGAGACGAGAAAAACGCTAACGATAATGCGAATATAAGCGTCACGTTCATGAATAAAGCAGATGTCAGACAGACGAGCTCTCTTCGAGTTTCGCCTTTACTCCACGCAGTCACGGGACGTATTTGGCAAGGAAAGTGAGCCTTGCCGGTACTGCGTAGATGAATCTCGGGAATGGCCGCAGTCGTTTCAAGCCCTACGACTTTTGATTAACGCGCGAGCCTACCGGCCTTGCGTCATTAGTGGCGAAAACAGCGCCGACAGTTGCCCGAGGTCTAACCAATTGAGTTCACGAAATATACACTAATGATAATTGCATCACCGGCACAACGTTCGCGGCTAATTTTCCACAGATAAAACTGTCATCGGAACGTTGTCGTTGACAAGCAGTCCGAGATGCTTTCAGACGAACGACCGAGTGGCCCCAGCGTTGAGAATATGAATTTCGAAAACGAATGCTGTCACTTGAAAATCAACAGGTTCCTCTTATCGTGTTTCGGACTGTGGCCCTACCATTCAATTTACTTCAAGTGTTGCTGCATTCTACTATTTTTAACGTGGATCGTCTCGTCTATTACAGCCATGGTAGGGTTACTTCGGAAAAACTCTGTACTGAAAGACATACGTCTTATCAAGAGAGCCATGGATGATTGTAGATTCAAGGACTGGGTGACAAAACGAGTACAGACATCGGGATCATATTCGAGACGGCGGTGTCCATTTTAACGATGATGGGCAGTTTGGCACAGCACAGGGTCTTGATATTCAATTCCGCGGAGGTGAGAAGCCTCTACGAGCGCATGGAAAGGGATTGGAAGGCTGCCGACTTCGAGGAAAGGATGATCATGAAGGAATTCTGGCGGCAGGGCCGGAAGCTGAGTTACATCTTCGCGGGTGAGTCAAAGCAGCGAGGGCGAAGCGCGTTCATCGCCCAATTTGCCGCTTCGATGTGATTCCCAGTCCTCGGTTTGGTGTGCTTCGCCGGGCAAATCAGCTTGACCTATTTGCCATTGGTCTTCGCCGAGGACGTCGAGAAGAACTACTCGAAAATCTTCCCCTACTACTCGCACCGTTGGATCATCAGCGACGACCATCGTAATCTGCAGGTGTTCGTTCACGGCTCTCTCGGCTATTTCTACGCCGGGTTCTCGTACACGGTCGTATGCTGTCTTTACATGTCCAACACCAAGCACATCTGCGCCATGTACGAGATCGTTTGGTACGGTTGCATTGATTTAGCAATTTATGCCGTATCGATTCGACGGATTTGAACGAAAAGCGCGTTCAGCTTCAGACTGGGAAACTTAGTGCGGGACGGGCGGCTGGCGACAGCGTCGCGCAAGGAGGAGAAGGAAAGGATCGTGTCGGAGACGTTGACCATCATCGGCAAGCACAGAGAGGCCATAGAGTAATACGCCTCGCTATCGGCACTAGTCACGTGCCGCCCAATCACTGCCGTACTTACGCTTATTCGTTTTTCCCAGGAGCGTCCGCATAATCAACCGAATTTTCAGCCTCTTCTACTTCTTCGTGCAAATCGGCTTTCTGGCGGCACTGGCGATGCTGATTTTCGACGTAAGATCCTCGAAACTCACTTGGTCGCCGCGTCGCGTATTAACAAAACCGTCGCCCCTTCCAGCTCAGCATTCAGCTTCGCGAATCACTGCTGTCGTCGTCCAAGATAGCCGTCACAACAGGGATACACATTGCCTACGAGTTTTTCTTGAACTACGCCGGCGAGCAGGTCATCGAGTACTCGAGCAAAGTTTTGACTAGCACGTAAGTAATGCACGAGTTGGCTTCGCAACCTCCCGATTGCCGATCGCTTGCAGGCACTTTATGCAGTGGTACCTGTTGCCGAGAGACGCCAAAAAGCTACTGCTGATGATCTCGCAACGCGGCCTCAAGGTCGACACTTTGGACGCGGGCATCATGACGTGCACTCTGGAGAATTTCACTCAAGTGCTGCTCGCACCTATGATCCAAGTAATCAACGCCGACTCGGCGAATTCAGACAATTCGTATTTGTTACAGATCATCAAGGCCTCTTGGTCATTGGCTTGCGTGTTACTGTCCACGCAGAAGGAATGTTAAAGCAAAGGCATCCAGTATGACAGGCGAATGCACTTGCTCCTGGAGGGCAAACAGGTCGTGAGTAGCCACGGAGACGACCGTCGCGAGTGATCGCTCCCTCCCTTCCTCTCTCTCACTCTCTCTCTCTCTTTCTTACCAAGACGTTGGACAAGTGTCACCGTCGATCCAACTGGATTCGGCATTGCAGCGATTTTTGCTGTAGATCCCCCATCGAAGAGAATAAACAGCCATTTGTAAATAAAGCGATCGCGCTCAATCTGAATTGGTGAAAGCATTAATTTTTGGCACACGTCATCGGCCTGCAGTCCGACAGCAAACACAATACATCCGGAAGAGCTGGCCCACCGATCGTCGGCACCTCGCGACGGGTCGTTAGCTCATCGCCCGCCCGCGCGACCGCGCGGGAACTCGATTCATCGCCGACGTTTTCGGCGTCGATCAAATGCAACGTCCCGTCGACCGCGGGACGGCGACGCGCTTCGGTCGGGCGCGCGGCCTTCGGGCAACCAGGTATTTTCTCTCAACAACGCGTCGATGTTTATCGCCGCTGCGTTCTACATGAATCACGCGAGGAGTAAAGGAGATGAGCACTCGTAGCCGAGTTTTTTTTATCGTTGTTATGCTTTCTTTTCGACAACTCGTTCGCAGAGGCGAGTATTCTTTTATGTTTCTTTCCAACTCGGCGCGCAAACGCTTCTTTTCTCGATATTACCGACGACCGTCTCGCAGAGCTCGCCTCGGGGGAATGTTATTGTGTACATATCGTCCTATTAGTTGATTGCCGACCGATTAGATCGGCCTCTCGTTGTCTTGCCCGCCATAAAACGAAGCAGCGCGCGCGTTGAATAGACAACCGCCGGCGGCCGAGTGCGTCGGAACGAGGCTCGTCTAGGCGGCGGCCCGCGCGAAGCGATATTTTTCATATAAAAGAGCAAAGGCAGAAGCGCGATATCCATGTCAATGTCTCGCCGCGAGCGCGCGTGCCAATTCTCCGCATTCCGTCTCCGACGCACCGGCACATGGCCCCTGACAATGAACTCGGGCGCGAGCGTTCACTCGCGAATTCGGGCCAAGGTCTGCGAGCGCGCGAGTCGCGCGGCGGCCGCCCGACGCGATCGATCAGGGCGAAAGGGAAAACTGATTACGTGGACTTGGTTTTCGCGCGCGCCGCACGCCTTTTCTCTCCTGCCCGTCGGCCTCCGATGATCAATGAAGTCGCCTTGGAAATTCAATTTCTACCCTCTGCGCTTGCTCGCCTCGCCTCGTAAGATTTATACGCCGCAGGTGGAAAAGCCGCGGCTGGCTCTCGATATTTTACACGGCAATTTTGTACCTTCCTTTTCGTCCATTTATACGCGCGCACACTTTTCTTGTTTGCCCGCTTACTTTGCGAAAGTTGCACATTCGAATCGACGCAAAGCAGCAAGAAAAGTCTCGCAATTTTAAGAGCCGCGCACTCCGCGAGACAGAGCTGTTGCGCTCGAGACGAGGGACGTTGGCCGCAGTTGCGAGAATGCAGCGCAAAGCAAGAAGATGAGTTTCGCCGTGCGCGCGCGCAGGTGTCTCGCGGGACGATTATTAGTGACCGAGTAAGGAGGCTGGACGGGCACAAATCAATTTTACCCCCGTCCCGCTGAGCATAAATCAAGCGCATCGCGTGCGTTACGCCGGCAGTAAAACCACGCCGACCGAAATGTTTGGATTTGCGCGACAAGACTAATCGCCGCCGGCCAAGCAAAACAAAGAGACGCGCGCGAGGCAGGTTTGATGAATCGCGCGCCACACGCAGCCGCGACCCCGCCGGGAGCACGAGGGGATGGTTCGATTGCGTAGCGCCGGCCAATAAGACGTCGCAGCGCCCGACACGGTCGGAAATTCGTTCGGCGGCGCGCTTGCGGAAGCCGTTCACGTACGCACCGGCCGACGGATTTATTCGTCGCGCGGGTTCGCGGGACGATTTATTCTCATTTGAATTTCTCTCTCTCTCTCCGCTCTGCCTCTTCTATCCGCTGATTGCGATGACGCAACTAACGGGACCGCGCCTGCTCCTGCCCCCACCGTCCTGCGCCACGCGGGTGCACGGCCACGAGGACGCGCGCGGGCCGCCGATCATCGAGGCGACATCGACTTGCAAATGCAGGCGCGCCGTTACTCGGTTTTTCGGCGAGCGCGCTTTTCAATTTCCATCTGGTGGAATCTGGTAGGCGCGCGGCGTGGCGATCCAACGCGAGCGCGCACGTGACGCGCGCGGCGCGATTTTGACTCGCGATCATACGGAGGATAGCCCTCGCGGACCCGTTAAGCGCCGCGGCCAAGTGTGCCTCGCGCCCGCCTTCTTTCTTTTCCTCCTCGCCTGCGATTTGCATGAGCGAGCCGCTGCTGGCGCAGCAGTGTCGCGGCCGGCCGAGTGTGGGTCAGCGCGCATCGTCGCGCTCGCCTGATTCATCGCCTCTCGGCTGTTTTGGCGCTGGCCCGCGCTGCTCGTGATTCGTCGTCGGTTTCGGAGCGGAGCTTTGGGCGCCCGCGACGGGTACGCGCGCGGTGCCACGCCCGTCGCCAGTTGGACGATGCCGGCAGGACGCCGGCCGGAGCGGCGACGAAGGACGACGCCGATCCTAGCGCGCGCCTTCTCCGGAATCCTTGCGGCCAGCTGCGTGTAATTGGGCTGAAAAACCGCGGCGAGACGCACGTGCGGACTGTCATTGTCGCGTACGCGGACGCGAGGCAAGCGGCGGGAAGCCACCTCCTTTACGCCACCACGCCAAGTTGCGCGTCTGTCGCAACACGAGGAAATGTCGATGTGGATCATAAAGTCGCAATTAACGTTCCTCTCGCGCGCGCGAACTTCGGAATTTTGTTGATGCGCCGCGGAGGTATTTTCGTCGCGGATGCGTGACAGAGGGGATCTGTCACCTTGAGGAGAATTGCGAAAAAAGCAGCGTTTTCCGAGAAACCGATCTCTCGCTCGTTAAAATTTCATTGTATATACATAAGTTTCAACGGCGAGCCTACGATCGTTGCGTCGCGTCTTGTCGAAGCCCCTACGCTCATCGTAGATTCCAACGCGTCTGCGAACAGACGGACGGCGCCCCGCTCGATCGAATTCTCACAGAGGGAACCGTTTTTCCGCGTCCCTCTTCCAGCCGTGGCGCCCAAATTGCGCTCGATCACACGCCCGCACTGTGGGAGAGGCGATTGCAAACCGGAAAATCCTGTCGTCGCTCGTTGTTCGCCGCGCGATCAGCATATTTCATAGGAAGCTTCCGCGCGCGCGCGAGCACCAATTTCGCTCGGACGTTACAGTTAAGAAGGAGCGAGCGGTGCCACGGCGTGAAATCGCGCGTGTAATGTGCGCGCGTCGCTCCGAATGCCAAGCGGCCTGGCCGCGGCGGCCGTAGCCACGAGCGAGCCTCCGGAGGTGCACCAGTCCGCCGAATTTTCGTCCCGCGGCTCTGCGATAATTTCATCGTCGTCCTCTTCGTAGTCCGACGATCGGGTGGACCCCCAGTGCAGCCACTCGCGGTGCTCTCTCCAACTGCTATCGGACGCGATTGTCGCCGTTGCTCGATGAAGCGCTCATCCCTGCGCGTCTATATTTAGCTGAGGAATTCGCCATAAAGCCGGGCGACGAGGGCCGGAAGACAATCGGCCGCCCTGGCCGTCGCTGTAAATCCTGGGGGCTATTCTTTCGCCATTCTCCCGCGGAATTGAACGGCCACTTTCGGCGTATGATCGGTCGGCCGAGTGACGTCAATCGTGGCGCCGAGTTCCACACGCTCGCAAAAAGTGCGGCGCGGCAACGGGAGACAAAAAAGAACGAGCGATCGACGCGCGGCTGATTTAGCGAAAATCGATTTTCGCATCGCTCGGCCTTGGCGCTCGGTCGTCGCCGACTCTTGCTGCGTCCTTTTGACGAGATGCGCTCGAGCGCCGCGCGCCAGATTTCCCCTCGACGAGCCGCCGCAGTCGGCGCTCGAGCGGTCGCGGCAGGGCAACGGGCAGCGCGCTCCTCCCTTGCTCGGGACGAGCCGCAGCCCGTACGAGATGCAAACGACCGACACGCGATTTTTTCCTTCCCACCTCGCCGCCGATTTACTCGCAAGGCTGCGCGCGGAAAATTTTACGCGCTCGGCGACTTTCGGCGAATCGTCCGTCCCAGAGGCGAGTCGAGTCCGCAGTCGAATGCGCGTCGGCCGGTTCAACGACACTTTTCCGATCTCGCGCGAGATTGAAAAGATTGCCATAAAGTTCCCCCTGCCCCCCTACATCTCGAGCCTCGGTGCTATCGAGCGCGCGATCTCGCCGGGGCTGGTCATAACTCATCGGCCATCGCGGGATATATGACTTGACGGCCGCGTGAATTTTTGCGGCCTAGAACAAAAGCCCGCGATTTATTAATTTGGAGGGCGACGCGGCGCGGCGCGCGCGCGCCATTTAACGACCCTCGCTCGCGGCGCGCTACTCTATTTTGCAAGCGGCCTTGAACCCCGCGAACGCCCTGCCGACGACGCGATCGTTAATGGGGAAAGCGCATTCGCCTTCTCGAGCCTCGCGGTGTTTGCGCCGGCGCGCGCGCCTCCGTTTCGTGGTCGAATTAGCGGCGACGCGGACGAGCGCTCAATCCTTCTTCGTTACGCGCGCGAGAGGAGAGAGACGCGGAAGCAGCGAAATGCAAAGCGCTCGTGAGCCGGCGATATCCTTAACTCGCTCGCGCGCGCGCGCGAACGGACACAATGGATCGTTCCTCTCGGCGGCACGAGCCATTTAATTGGACGCTGGACGATTCTTCTTCGCTCGACGCGAGGCGTTTCTCCCTCCACCGTTTACTCATTTTATTTTCGCTTCTTTCGTTCGCCCTATCCCCCCGACAGCTCGTTATGTTTCTCGCGCCGCTACGCGCACCGGCCGCTCGTCTCGCGCTGCGCCGCGGACAATTAGCGAGCGCTCGCACGCGCAGACATTGATCTACAATATTGAAAAGGAAAGGACAAGCGGATCGCGCTGATTCAGTCGACGCGGTGGCGGTCATCTCGCGGATGGATCGCACCTGGTTAGAGACGGTTCGATCGCGCGCCGCGTCCTCTCTCCTTTTTTCGTTCGAGCGCGCGCGTCGAAATAAGCGCGATCCGTCTTCGCCGGATGGCGCTATAATAAATTCCGAGCAATGATTCGCGCGAGATAAAAATCGCACGCGTGTACGACTTTCGCGCGGCTCGGGCCGCGCGCGCTCGCGACGTCCTTACGATTTGGCGCGCGCAAGGCGATGCACCTGGATCGCGGCTTTTTCTCTTTTTTTTGCGCTTCTTTTTCTGCTCGCTCTCCACATGAAAATTCATAAAACAATTAATAAGGAACGTGCTGCGTATGGTACTTCCCTCGTACCCGAGGGGGGCGACGGGAGGGGAAACAATGACGAAACTGATGAGTGTACGCGAGTGTCGCAACAGAGTCGCGCAAAGCGCCGCATTCTCATCGCATCGATATCCCCCCTCCCCCTCCTCGTTTTTTTTTTCATCTCGCTCCATCCGTCCCTCATCGCGGAAAAATTTGGCGTCATGCGCGCGCCGACGACGACGACATTCTTGCACGCTGCGCGCGCGGCACCTTCCCGAGGAAAATCGCTGGACGATGATGGTTCCGCGGGATTTCCTTTTGCCGCGGAGCGCGCAAGCTCGACAGCGAACAGGAGAATGAAAAAAAATAGGCGCCGAGCGGACGCTCGGCGAAAGCTTGTCGACCCGTGACTCAAGCGTCGATGGCGTTAGTCCGGAAGAGACGCGCATCCCCGTCATAATCCAATTGCGCTCGGCATGCGAAGCAGCGCGCGAGCCGGTAATTCTGGGTCAAGGAAAGAGAGTTATGCAAAAGTTGCTCGTGTCGCGGCCGATAAGCCGTCGCCGGCGCCGCCGAGCTTTTCCCGAGCTCGCGCGGTCGGCGCGTTCCTCGGAGGAGCATCCCCTGAGCCGCGCGCACCTGCACGCCCGGCCACGTCCAAGCAGGAGGCCTCGGCGCTACAGGCGATTTCGCCTCCCTCCCCCACCATCGCGCGCGCGCGCCTCGCGCAGCCAAGAGCGAAGAAGCGCCGCGCGGAGAGTCTTTATAAGTGGGAGCCATCCGCGTCCTCGGGACTTACTCCCTCGCGAGGGAAAGACGGAGAGCAAGCGACTCGCGCAAATAGTGCGCGGATCTTCGCGGCTCCTGCCTCGCGCGCGCTTCTTCGTCCTCGGGCTCTTCTCGTTCTCTCGTCTTTTTTCTTCTTTCTCTCCGGCCACGGAGGATTATGACGAGGCGGGCGCAGTGAAACGACTTTCGTTTTTGTTTTCTTCTTATTATTATTTCTTTTGACTGTGACACCGCCATTATTTTCGACAAGCTGCTTGCAAGCTCCGCGGGATTGCTTTACGACGAGGGTAAGTCGCTTGATTTATTATTTTCAACGGCTCGCTTCTTTTTACCATGGCTCCATAGCCGGCGAGAATGTTGTTTTTTACGGTGCTGAGTCGGCGACGGATTGGTTATTTCTATCGTCAAAAAATACATTAGATTGTCAAAGTATTTGCTTCAGTCTCGGGGGTTTCTTTAAATTTTTATTCGACTTGTTTAGAAATTGGATTTGTAATTTGACCGAAGCTCAACAATCATTCAGTGGTCATGGAGAGGGGTGATTTTTAACAATTATTTTTTGAAATATGCATTCTACAAAAAAATTGCTTAAAAAGCTAATTGTTGACGTTAGTGGTATAAAGTCTGCTTTGTGTGCACAGAATCTATAAATATGTTTAAATAGAACAATAGTCATTTCTAACGTTAATTGTACATTAAAAAATAATGTTGATACTATCATATTTTCATCGCTAAAAAATTAAGGCAACTCAAAATGTCATCAAACTCACAAGTATATACTTAGAAATGCCGTGAGTTAACAATATTATCCTATTCGTATATACACAGTCTCGTAAGAGTCTTAAGATTCACCTTTAGTATGAGTGATTGACGCGTAACCGAAAGACGCTTCGAGCAAACTTAAGAGCCTTTTCTTTTACGTACGGCTAACATTTTATTTTCGTATTCTAAACATCATCAGTGATTGTATTCTTACTAGGTTTCTTGATTAAAAAATAGACGGTGATGGAACTGAAAATTCCTGCAAGTCAGATATAAGGATTAGATCAGACTTATTATCTCATTTCACGTTAGATAATCATTAATTGAATCGTTCGTGAAAAAGAAAGAAAAAAAGAGAACCGGTTTTATCGCTAAACGACTGTGTGTCAAATTAAGTAACACTCTCATTAAAGGTAGATAATCATCGGAAAAAAGAAACGAACATTTGATATAATGATTTTATCGCCACTAATAACGTAGAATTGTCCGTGGAGAAACACGACTTGGCAGCCTTCTACTTCTTAATTTCACGTTAGACGACGGAAAGGCGCGATCCGCGCGGCGACCGCACGTATAAATCAGCGCACGAGTGGTATCGGTAAAACTAAACGTGAGATCGTCGAAGCGCCTATTCTTGCTCTGGCGTGCACACACATACACACGGCCGGAGATTTAGAAGACCCGAGGCGGGAAAAAGCTCGCTTTTGGCTCCGAGCGGCAAAAACCGCCGACGGAAAAGAAAAAGGCAGCGCCGAGCAATCGCGCCCTTGAAAATCCTCTCTCGCAAAAACCACAATTGGATCTCCTACGTGCACGCGGGAGCTCGGGGAGGCTCATTCTCATGCGCGCACCGATTCCGTCTGCCGCCGGTTTTTTTTTTACCGCTTCTTTTTTATTTTTTTTTCCTTCGACGCCCGCGATAATTTTCGCGACGGAGCTCGAATGAGTAAACGATCGGTCGCGAGCGATTTAAATGAACGTTACACGCCCTGGCAAAGCCTTGCGTTCGGCATATATATACACTCGCGGCACGCGGCGTTCCTCCGTTCCGCGAGACGCCTCAGCCCCCGCGTCGGCGAATCCCGCGTTGCAAGATCGAACGCGCGCGCGATCGAATCGCAATCGACTGGCGTGGAATCGGTAGAGGGAGAGAGAGACAGCCGAACGCGCTGTGATGTCCGCAGGTCGTTTAGCATCGATTTGAATGTGGATTTGGGTGGCTCGCATTCCTCGTCGGCCAGTCACGGCCTCTAAATTCGGGTCGCGCCGACCAACGGCACACACTCGGCTGCGTTTTCTCACCGCGGACAGGTGAGTTGTGTTCCGCGCGAGCGCGCATCTGGAGCAAAAATCGGCGCAACAAGAGCCCCGCGCGTCTTTGTCCGGCCGATGTTTATGATGGCGCAGAATGCGTTCCTCGTGCGTGGCTTCTCCGATACATACTCGCTCGCTCTCTCGCTCTCTCCCTCTCTCGCGGGGCACGAAGCAGCGCTTTTCGAGGGGAAAAGGGATCGCGCGACGTATGGCAATCGGCACAGTTCCCGCGGCGGACGACGAGTCACGCGCGCGTATCGATCGATATTCGCGAATAAGAAGGAGAGAGAGAAAAAAAATGGAAAAACTCGGTCACGCGCGCCTCGCTCGTCTCGAAGGCTGGCGCGTCCTCTACGCATTTCTCCCGCGCGTGGAAACGAACCTCGTCATAAAAAGAGAGAGAGAGAGAGAGAGAAAAAAGACGGGCAGATCAATTATCCTTTCAGCGCCGCGGAGAAATTGAATTCGTCCTTGAGGACGCGATCGCGCTCGCGCGTAACGATCGCCGCGGCAATTTTCGTCTTACGTAAAGACCGATTCCTCCGATTGCAAAGCGTAACTTATCCGCACGAGATGCAATTTGCCGTACGCGTACATGCTCTCCGAGAGAGAGAGAGAGTCTAATTGAAACGTACGCCCCGACAAATTTGCGCGAGCCGCTGGATACGTTCAGGAGGGGAGAAGACTCTCTCTTGGATATTACACTGCAACCTTGCAACGTTGCAAGGCCGTCCCTCCTCCTCCTTCGGTCCCTTTTTTCGCTTTCATCGGCTCGTCCTATTCCGTGGCTCGGTGCCGCGCTATTTATAGAAACTGGTCTTTCGCGAGTGTCGCTGCGGCCGCGGGCTGACGGGTCGCGACTGGGGGCGGCGCTCATTTTTCTGCCACGGCGATCGACGGGGCCGGGCGAAAAAGCGCGCGCCTGCGCCAACGCGATAACCGAGCGGTAATTGATCCGTTCGGCTCGTTCGTTACGGCGATCGCTCTCGAGGGTGGGCCCCTTGTCCCGGGCCTGTCGCCGACCTTTTCTCCGCGAATCCAAATCCACTTTCCGCAAATTGAAAGGCTTTACTGCCCCGCTGGCGCAATAAAATTCGCGGAAAAAGAAAGAGCGCCGAAGTAATGAGTTTTAAGAACCTTTACGAGCGACCTTGCGTACCGCGTCAATTTTTTGCTCTCTCGGGCTGATATAAATCAAACGGACGCGTCCGAGGGAAATACGAGCTCGTTAACCAAATTGATAATGATTATCAGCGCTGGACGCGTTGTAAATAAACTTTCGTTGACGGCCGAGCGACAGCTGTTTATACGAAAGAAAAAATGCGTCCGAATGTTAATCTTTCTTGCGTTTATAAAAGTCAAAGAGAGAAATATCGCGCGCGTGTTTTCTTATCTCGCTGTTGTTCTTCTTATCTTTTTGCCGTGGATGCGGCGTCGTTAAGCTCGAAGGGCCGGCCTCGAGTCATCCGAAAGGAGCCCACGGCCGAGGTCCGCGAGCGGAGCTTGCGCGTGGCGCTCTCCTTCGAAAACACATCGACTCGGCAGTCCGCGTCCGTCGTCGGGAAAACCGCGAGAGAGGCCGCCGTCGGATGTTTGCGCTGCACTCGAGAATAGACCGCGCCGCGAGTCGTGCAGGCGCGCGCTGCCGGTAAAAAGAAAAGGGCAGAGCCAAGGCAAACATCGCGAGCCCGAGAGATGTACCGTAAGAAAGCGTCGCCGTCGAATCGCTTTTTCCGCCGGCCCGCGGATAAATAATTCCAGGGCGCGGTCGCTGAACCGGCGCGCCGCCAAGGGCAGCTGTTGCTTTCCTTCCGCGGCCCTAGACGCCTTCTTACGGCGACGCGCTATAAATATCGATGGCGGCGGCGACGGCGCGCGTCATCGGCATAAATTAGCGCTCTCCTAATTGCGCGCGGCTATTTATAACGATGCCCCGCGGGCTCGCGCGACGGCAAATTATGATTGATATCGCGCGATTAATCCGAGGCAGCGGAGATATCAGCTGGCCGGCGTCGAGCCCGTTTGCTCTGCGCCCGAGCGGCCTCGCCTGCCGCCGATCCACGCGAGCGGCAAAAGCCGGGGAAAAGTGGCCTTCTCGGAAAAGTGCTCCCGCGGGCCGAGGTCGCCGGCTTTTTGCTCCGGGGATGATTCGAGCCCGCGCGCGGCCCTCCCCTCCCGGCCGCCCGGCGACCGCCACCTAATGACAGAGCGCGCGGGGCTGCGATTTATCGGCGCCGAAGCGCGCGATTTTGACGATGCTATCTGGCCGAGCATCCTCGGCGCGAGGGCCGCGGCCGCGGAGTTAAACAACAGCGAGTCGCGCTCGACTTAATCGGCGGCCATTAAACGGATGCTGCTTCTGCCTGGCACGAGGGTACGAGAGTCCGCGATAAGCGATCGCGTGCTAATAGGTTCGATGCCGCTCAGTGGCTCTCAAGCTCCTCGAGCTCGCGACGCTCGATCGGCCGCCGCGAGCCGGCTTCGCTGCTATTCAGATCTCACGTGCACGTGCGCGCGCGCGCGCGCGCGCGTAAGGGCACGCGAGCGCAGCGTCGGCCGCTAAAGTGTGTCAGCGCGGCGCGCAGCGAGCTCCCACGTCACTCGCACCGCGAACGGAATGGGACCCGCGGCTGGAAATTTCAACGCTCGAGCGGTCGTCTCTCTCTCTCTCTCTCTTTTTCGCGAAAAGTATTTGCATGGGACGCGGAGAGCGAGTCGCGATGAATTACCGCGAGACGGTTCGCCTTGACGCACGACAGTGAACTTTCGTGCGCCTCTCGCCCGAGCGTTATGTCACTCACGAAAGTTATGTCGTTGAACTCGCGAAAAAAAAAAGAAAAAAAAAAAAACAAAAAACGCGGCTGACAAGAGTGGGAGAGAGAAAGACCGATTGAGATTTTTTCTTTTCGCCACGCAAATCCACAATTGCCGGAGAGTTTGCATTCCGCGATGGACACGTGTTCCACTCCGTCGATTGAATACAGTCACGTTATAATTAGCACACCTGCGTGCGCGACGTCGACTCACGTTCAGATTATCCGCGTGCATATACATAATCGACTCTCTCTTCGTTTATATTTACTGAATAATGGATTATTATCAAGCTGGATGTGTGATGGATATGTCTACGGAAATAATTCTTTACGCATACAAATCTTTTTAATAACAACTGAATCATCTTCGCAGTCAGTCATAATTATTATTATGGTGTTTCTCCTTCGCGAGTTTTTCTTTTTTCTAATTTATATGACACATTGCCTTCAATCTTCTCGACCTTCCCCCCTCTCTCTTCGATTTTATCGCCGCGAAATGTTTTCAATTATTCATCGGGTATGTAGCTACTAAATTTCCATTAGCTTCTTGACAAGTTGTGCGTCTTTGCGCTCGAATCCCAAGCCGAAAAGAGAGAAAAGCAGAGCAGCGATCGTAGCAGTAAATCTCAGTCGCCACCTTTTTCCCTTCAACCCTTTTCGGAATACATAATACATCTCTCTCCCTTGTTCGTCGTCGCCGTGTCGCCGCCGACTTGGAAGTTAATTTTCCGATTTTAAACGAGGCTCTTTTCCCCGAGTGATCGACTAGCGAGGTCGCGCAGAAAAAAAAAAGAAATAATAAAAATGAGACCAAACAGAACCGCCGCCGCGTCGCGGTGGTAACCTATCGCCACTTCGCATCTGCTCGCGACTCCATTGATTTTTCGCAATAAATCGCGTCTCCGTGCGTCGGAGGCACTGCCCTTGGACGAGCCGCGACGTTATGTCACGGCCAAGCAGCGTTCTTTCTCTCTCTCTCTCTCTCTCTCTCTCTCCGCGAATTATGTCACACGTGTGCGCGCGCGCGCGGGGGGGCTGAGAGCAGAGCAGCGGATGCCCCAAGCAACGACGAAAATAATTGGCCGGTGTTGCAGGAAGCGGAGGAGATAGCGAGGCAACCTTGTCGTGCGCGCCGCGGAGCCAAGAATGCCATATCCAAGCGGACGATCTTCGTGTGCCGGGTGCAGGCCGACGATGTTTTCCGGGCGCGCGCGCACCCGATTGGATTTTATCCGCCTTTTCCCACCTGAGCAGCTTCCATTGGCCTCTGCGCGGATGCGCTTTATCGATCCCCTTATCGCACGCTCTCCCTCGTTTTTCCTTCTCTCTCTCTCTCTCTCTCTCTTTGTTCGTTTTATCTTGCTTTTCTCCCACACCGCGCTCGGCGCCCTCAATTTGTATTCGGCGCGGGGCGTCCGAATTTGGGCAAGTGCGACGATTCCGGCGCCACGCGTCGGCCCGACCGGACGCATTGTATTCCGCGGTGCGTTACGCAAGCGATCAACTATGCAACGAGTCGATATTACGAACAATGAAAACGGGAAGCGCGCGCGTAGCGGCCCTCGACTCTGCCGCGCTCGCGCTGGTTTTGCGGCTACGTCTTTCGCGCGCGGCACGGATCGATTCGTTGCGGAGGCGCAACACCACCCGGCCGATCGAATTTGCGCGCGATCGCGGTCGGTCGACTCGCTCGCCCGCGCTCGCGACGGGATGTAACATGACAAGTGGACAGAGCGCGCGAGAGAGATTCCGGTTTGCGCGACACCGCCGTGAGTCACGGACATAAATTGCGAGCAGCCTAGGTACGCCGACAAGTGCTCTCAACGCCATTTGGCACTGAACCTGCCGTGGCTCGCTTTGCGTATACGCGGCCGTTGCCCAAATTATATCATCGCGCGGTATTCAATCTAGATGTCGTTGAACCTCCGTTTCACGGATCGCCGCGTTCTAGTTTCGTTGAAAAAAAAAAAAATTTTGTGCCTCGCACATACAACGAAAAGTAATTCAAATGAGTACCTCGTCTCGCGGCTCACCGACACTTCAAAGCGCGAGAAGTCGAGCGTCGGCGCGTCGATAATGGGACTCGGAAGTCGCGCGATAACGAGAAAGCTCTTTCCGACTGACCCTATCGACCCAGATGCGCGGGACCGTTTAATTAACCGCGCGAACGCGCGATAACCACAGGCGGCGTGCACGCGCAGCTTCATGCATAAATGCAAATCCGTTGACACTGATAGGTCTTTATGATTTAATGAGTCACGAGAGAGAGAGAGAGAGAGAGAGAGAGAGAAGGCTGTTAATGAAGATGGATCGCAGCAGTCTCTGAAGACGTTATGTGCTTGTGCCTTTAATTCGACGTACTTGAAACACTTGCGGATAACGACCTGCTTATGCGAGCATGCTCTTGCGCAACGATTACCGGTTATTAAGATGCTTTTCTACGATTAATCAATCATCCTTCCGAAGAGTAATTCACAGTGAAAATCAGGTTGAAAGTGTTATGTTTTGCGCCGTTGCGATTTATTTATTATTCGCACTTGAGAAGCTAAAAATACGTAAATGCCTATGCTGTAAACATCAACTATATGGAAATTACAATGAGCAAATTGTTCTTGGAAAGGAGATTTGTTTCTCTCCACACTCTCTCTCTCTCTCTTTCTATGGAAAGTGGAATAGCTACGGGTCGCGCTTCATTTACAGGTTCAATTTTCATTCAGATAGAAGCGTATGTAATTGCCAGCTATTCATACTCAACTCGTTGCCATTTTAAAAAGCACTACTGCAAAAGAAGAGTGCCATTAAAAAGTAAAATACTGCACCAAGGCGCTCGCGAGGATAAAAAAAAGCGTGTCACTCGGCAAGAATGCTCTTATTTACCAGCTCGCGACCTCATTTCTCCGATCATCCCCCAATTGATCAACAGTAGCGCCAGCGATAACCTATCCGCTAATCTTCCGTCGCGTTTTATCCATTTTTTCCGGGCGCTTCGTGTAAACCATGCAACTTGAATTTTGCAGGAGTGACAAACCTGGCAACCACCACCATGCACCTGCCTATCGTACTCGGTGCGCTACTACTGCTACTGGGCACAGTCGAGAGTGGTAAGTCGTTTTCTTTTCCCCCCGATCGCGAGTGTCTCAATTTCAATACAATTTGTTGCGGCGATTCCCATGGGAAAAAAGAAAGCAACATCGAGAAAGAAAGATCGATCGGCAATTAAATATCGACCCTTTACAGCTGTGATGTGTAATTAAAATTCAGTGCAACACATATATAGGCATAGTTTCGAACAAAACACATCGGCGCAAATGAAACCTAGGCGCTCTCTCTCTCTCTCTCTCTCTCTCTCTCTCTCTCTCTCTCTCTCTCTCCTTCTGTCGCCAATTACGGTAGGCGTTCGCTATGCTAGTAGTAGTAGCTTTTCTCTCTCACTCGGGTTGTCGTCAAACAGGTTTGCCCTTTTTATGGGCCTTTCTCGCTCGCCCCACGCGCGCTGTCGAGTATAAAGGGAAAAACGAGCAAAAGCCTCATTGCGGATGGCAGGCCTCGGTAAGATAACGCGTCGCTCGCTGGAATTCTCTCTCTTTCTCTTACTCTCTCTCTCTCTCTCAGTCGATATCCCCTTCTCTCGCGCGAGCCGCGCGTGTACGGGAGGCTCGACCTACGCGATTATACGATTGCGATTGCCTTGCAGCTTCTTCTTCTTCTCCTTCTTCGTCATTCGTGTCGACGTCGTTTTCCTCGTTTTCTTTTCTTTTTGTCAGCCGTCTGTTTTCCAAAGAGGCGTTTCAGCACGTATACTTGTTTTGACCGCTTAGGCGCGCGACGCGCCGCTCGTCATTCACCGCGCGCCGAGACACCGATCTATCATTATCGTGCTCACGCGCTGCTTAATCACATAGCCGCTGGCGATTTTCGCCGAACGCGCCAAACGAGTCTATCGAACGGAGAGAGATGATTGATGATGCGCGCGGGCATGTTAGGTTTATTAAACGCCCAGTCGCACGCGAAAAATAAAACGAAAAACAAATGTTATTGCAGGCTTCTACGACTACGATAACGAAGTTTACGACTACTACAGAGGCGAGAGTAGTAATGACATTGCCCAAAGCAACGTGCACACATATCAGTGTCAAAAGGAGGGTTTCCATGAGGATCCTAACGACTGTCGAGCTTTCTACAGATGCGTCGATTATGGGAACGGAGCTCCGTTAACACCATTTAAATTCGAGTGTGGTCCCGGCACAGTGTTCTCCAAAGCTCGAGGAAATGTGTGCGTGCGACCCGTCGACAGCGGCAGGCAAGAATGCTGTGAACCTGGTAACGAAATCGATGGCAATGAGCCAGACTACGGCGATGGTTGGAATCAAGCTGGTCAGCAACCGCAAAATCCGGGATACCCACCGCAAAGGCCGGAACAGCCGGAATATCCGCAAACCCAAAGGCCACAACAGCCGGAGTATCCACAAACCCAAAGGCCGCAGACACCAAGTTATCCTACTTCTAGACCTCAAAAGCCGAGTTACCTTCCCCCGGAAACTCAAAGGCCTACGTATCCTACGACTCAACAAACACAGAGACCTACGTATCCTTCGACTCAACAAACACAGAGACCCAGTTATCCTACGATACCACAACAAACACAGAGACCCACGTATCCTCCGACTCAACAAACACAAAAGCCTAGCTATCCTCCGCAAACGCAGCGGCCAACGTATCCACCACAAACTCAGAGCCCGAATTATCCATCAACGCAAAGACCACAGCCGCCTGATTATCCTTCATCTCAAAGACCCGAGCAGCCTGGTTATCCTACTCAGCGGCCTGAGCAACCTGGTTATCCTTCAACGCAACAGCCTGGTGATAACGAATGTACTCCTGCCCCTGGTGCATCTGGAGGCTGTGGGAATTCGCCAGGTTGCTCGCAAGAAGGCTTCTTCCCCAACCCTGAAGATTGCCATAAATTCTACCGTTGCGTCAACGAAGAAACGCACTTACAAAGGCACGATTTCACTTGTGGTTCGGGGACTGCTTGGGATCAAGATCTCCAAACATGTAATCACGAGCATGAGGTTGCAAGTTGTGGTGGTGTTTCTGGAAGTGGAGGTTCTCAAGAACCTGGTCCTGGTCATCCAAACTCACCAAGACCACCATCTAGTCAATCTACCCAACAACCTGGGCATTATCCTTCGTCATCACGACCCACAGAACCACCATACCCATATCCACCCTCACAGCAACCTACGCCATATCCGCCTTCACAAGGTACTCAAAGACCTGAGCAGCCCCAGTATCCCACACAGCCACCATCTTATCCTACGCAAGGTACTCAGAGACCTGAGCAGCCCCAATATCCCACGCAGCCCCCGTCTTATCCGACACAAAATACTCAGCAACCACAATACCCGACGCAACCTCCATCTTACCCCACTCAAAGACCAACACAGTATCCTACACAACCACCATCGTATCCTACACAACCGCCATATCCTTCTTCTGGAGGCACTCAAAGACCAGAGTATCCACAGTATCCTACACAGTCACCGTCTTATCCCACTCAAGGAACTCAAAGACCAACGCAGTATCCTACACAACCACCATCATACCCAACACAGTCATCTTCCTCGAGTACAAAAGGTCCAGAATACATCCCACCATCAAAACCTTCAACGAGCAGGCCATTTTATCCCGGTGGACCCACTGAAGCTCCAGGAACTGGTGGTCGACCATGTCCTCCAACTGGCTCACCGTCCGAATGTAAAGAAGAAGGATTCTTCCCAAATTCACAAGATTGCCATAAATTTTTTAGATGTGTCAACGAAGGAGACTCGTTTCGTAAATACGACTTTGAATGTGGCACTGGAACTGCTTGGGATCAGCAGCTACAAACGTGTAACTACGAAGATGCTGTTAGTTGTACAAGCTCTGAGCAGCCACCTGAAACCGGTGTATCTCCTGAAGGAAATCAACCAGGTTCAGGCACAGGACCAGAAGGTCAACAGTCAGGTGGACAGCAGCCGCCAGGTTCTGGTAATCAGCAGCAACCTGGTTCTACTCCTGGTACTTCTAGGCCACCAACTATTCAATCTAGTCAGTCATCTTCTTCGCGACCTTATCCTGGATCAACTCAAGCTACAGTCTCACCTTCGACGATGCAACCTTCTCAACAACATACAACAGAGTATCCTCAAAGTACTTTGAAGCCTAGTTACCCGTCTACGTTACAACCACAACGTCCATCGAGTCAGCCACCAAGTAGTTCTCAGGGTACTCAACAGCCGCCACAAACTATTCCTCCAAGTGAAGGACCATCAACTTCCAGACCAGGAGGTGGATATTTACCACCACAACAGCCCGATGGAAGCGGCTCACAACAACCTGGTGGCAATGGTTGGCAACAGCCCGGTGGTAACGGCTCGCCACAGCCACCGTCAATGAACGGAGGTTGTCAAGGCGAAGGTTTCTTCCCTAATCCAAACGACTGCCGTAAATTCATAAGATGCGTAAGCAATCCTCCAACTTACATCAAATACGACTTCGACTGTGGTCCAGGAACGGCTTGGGATCAAAACCTGCTTACTTGTAATTACATTCATTTAGTTGCCTCTTGTGATATGAATCAAAATGAAATAGAGCCAAATCAACCGCCATCATCTGGTGGTAATAATGGTTACCCAAGCGGACCCCCATCGGGATCAACGTTAGGACCACCTTCGAGCAGCACCCCAAGTGTCACACAGGCACCCGTAGAAGAGAATAAAACTGAACCATCTCAACAAATGACTACTTCAGGTCAGCCTAGCTCGGAAAGTTCAGGTTCAAGTTCCGAAAGCTCTTCGACACCATCATCCGGAAGTAGTTCATCTAGCACCGAAAGTGGATCTGCAGAAGGCAAACCAGATTGCAACCCACCGAAAAAAAATACTACAATTGTGTGCGACACTGCTGGATTCTATCCACATCCAACACGATGTGACAAATTTTACCGTTGCGTAGACAACGGTAAAGGATTTAACGTTTACTACTTTGACTGCCCACCTGGAACAATTTACGATCCATCCATAGATGTCTGTAACTATCCAGAATCTGTGTATCCTGCCAGAGATTGCGAAAACCCGCAAGGTGCTTTACCACCGTCAGCGTCACAAGCACCACCATCGCAACCACCTTCTTCCTCGACACAAAAAACTCCAAGTGGCGAAACTACGTCTCAACAACCTAGCGCAGAATCTTCGACTACACAGCCAGAAGGTACGACTGGTGGAAGCCCAGAAGTAACTACCCCAGAAGTAGAGGTAACTACTCCAGGAGCAGAGGGTACAACGCAAAGTTCAGAAGCGACAACAGCTAGCTCAGAAGAAACTACTCCCGAAGTAGAGGGAACAACGCCTATATCGGAAGGGACAACTACAGAATCCGAGGTAACTACTCCAGAATCAGAAGGAACGACACCAGGATCAGAAGGAACGACACCAGGATCAGAAGGAACGACCCCAGGATCAGAAGGAACGACACCAGGATTAGAAGGTACAACACAAAGTTCTGACTCGACAACTGCCGGAAGCTCCGAGGCGACGACCACTCCAGTACCAGAGGAGCAACAATCAACTACTAGCTCGAGTCAAGAAATGACCACGGCTATGACAGGTACAACAGAACCAGAAGAATCGACGACGCCGGGATCCAGTGAGAAACCACCATCCATCGACAATTGTCCATCATTAGCTAATTTGACGGACGAACAGATAGTCTTGGTCTGCCCAACAGGATTCAGAAGACATCCAAAACTGTGCAACTTGTTCTACCAATGCACAAGTTCCGGTATGGAAGTGAAAATACTTATGCTGCAGTGTCCCGATGGCACTATATTCGATCAGAAGGAGAACAAGTGTCTCGCTGAAGCTGACAGCAGCGAACCTTGCATGGGTACAATTGCTGGCAAAAGGACACGGCGTGTTGCCGGAGATCCACCTTCCGCGGTAAGATACATTCCTTGACTTTGTACTTATTAGATTTTGAGTTGAAAGTTAATGTTTCCCTTATTTGAACTATCTTTCGAAAAATTATATTCATTGCTCTCCTGCACAGATTTATTACTAGATTTTACTTAAAAAACGTACAGTCGAAAAATGTTGTTCGCTTTGCTCGAACTAAGTTTCTAGATATTATAGCGATTATTTTTTATGTTCAGATTGAGGTATCTGCGAAGCCATTGTGTCCGGATGAAGGACACTTCCCATACCGCAACGGCTGCAGTAACGTCTTCTACAAGTGTAAGCGCGACACACGCTCAGCCCTTCAGGGATACCTGTTTAAGTGTCCCAAGGACTTTGTTTATTGGTCGGTGTCAAGACGATGCGAACGCGCCTCGAGATTGCCAATGTGCACAAGCATGTCTGAGCAAGCAGAGTTCGAAAATGAGGCATGGGAGAACCGCTGGGAGATACCCGTTGAAGATCGTAACCTCTCCGCCAGATCGTTAATATTGTAATCTACGACTGAATTGGATTCTCGAGACCTTGAAACTTTTTCGGAGAATTGCTTTGTGTAAATACGAGAGATTGATGCTTAAATGGCTTTTTAAGGAGAACACGAAATTCAAGTGTTCGAGAGGAAAGTATTGAGTTTTTGGTACTGTTAGAGCGAGACGTTTTTCAGTTTAAAAATAAAATTTTTGCTGCTAATGAATAATATGCTTTAAAGTATTTTAACTATTCCGTTCTGTGAGTACTATAAGCTCGATTCAAAACTGCCTTTAAAAATTAAACTTGTCAATGAATAAAAAATCGTGGGAGAAAATGGTCTTATATAATAGGCAACGAACAAAAGTATCATACTGCCAGAGTAGTTAGCTTATACACAATTGAAACAATTGCAAAATTTTGCTGGGAAAACTAAATTTAAATTAGTTTTTCGATAAGCAAAAGAAAATCAAACAATTTCGCGTATGGAATCTCCGTTTGATTTTCTCAGTTTTTGGCCATAAAACGCGCGCATTGGTTCTCTCGGCAAATACCAAGCTCGCGTGATTAAAAAAACTCGTAGAAAATCGAACGCGACATTCGGGATTTGCAAGGGTTAAGGGACTTTGGTGCAATAAATATACTCGTCGATAATTTGCGAACGAAATATTTTATCTTATTTTTTTAATTCCGAAAAAATACGTAATAAAAGTTAACGATGAGGAAACAAAACAAATTTGTACGTGTATATAAATTGAATTAAGTATATAGTAGTCTAGCATCTATTGCATGCATTATATAAGATATAACAAAACAAAGAGCAACAAAAAAATACTATTTAATTTAATTTCAATCGTATGTTTGTCAGCGAATGCAGCAATCTGCAGCTCTATTATCTTTATATTATACTATAATAATTGTAATAAAATACTAAAACTCGAAAATATTAATTTTGTATTTACAAAATCGGTTAGCTTCTAACCGTCGATTTTTCTCTTGCTTTAATAATAACTTTAAGGATAGCAATTCATAATAATAATAATGATAATAATAATAATAATAATAATAATAATAATATAATTATGTAAGGTTATAATTAAGATAATAAAAAAGCCTGTTAGTGTCACAATATTTTGTACGTGATCTCGTCTATGCATTAATGATAACAATAAATGTGTACGTTGAGTAAAATGACTATTTAATCTTAATAGTAAAAATGCTTAATAGTAAAATTCAAGATAGAGAAGCAAATTTTTTTCTCCTAAACAAATTATTTTATCAAAACATTAACATTTTGATAATACTATTACTTACTTCAAGTTTCAACATTCATGAATGTTGATTGAATTTCTTTAAAGCTTGCAAGAGCATCAATCAGGATGATTATTATTTTTCCATTTTCGTAACTTTTACTCGCTACGATTTATCTCACTCTGCCACATTAACAACTTTTAAATGATCACGCTACTACTGATATTCACTTTGAAAGTCTTCAAATTACAAGGATTCACGTCAACACCACTTTTTGTTTATATAACGCGAGAATGGAAAAAGTTCTGTCAGAACTTGCGTTTGCTCAAACGTTTTGTACGAAAAATACTCACAATAATCTGTGGCTACAGTCTCCAAAAAATACAATCGCCGGTAAATATTATCTCCCCCGCCACCCGCTGATTTCCGGCGGCGCTCGTAATACGTTCCGCGTCAACGTCCGGGCGGTACTTCTCTGGCAAGTGGCAGCGGCGCCGTATGGTACGGCAGTCAGTTTAGTGGCAAAAGCTCGTCAGCGCAAGATGGCTTCGTCGCTGCAGTAAGTATATTTCTATTCAGTTTTCTACCATCCACATAATTAATCTCACGTGGTATTAACAAATTATTGGTTTCTAATATTGTCAGATAACAATTTGTTCATCTTCTCTTTCACATGCATATCTTAGTACACTATTATTTGAGATAGAAGTTTGAGGTTAAGACAGTGTGGCGCGGGCTTCTTTGGGGACTCCTACAGTTCCTTCATAGACTTTTTTTTCTGTTTATGACTGACGTGTCATGCGCCGGCAACGTGTCATTTTTCGTGTTTACGTTTTTACCTTCTTAAAACAATGAACATGTGTCTAGCATTTCGTTGTTTCCTCGAGCAGCAGTCTCATATTTTTCAATGCAATGGTTTGTTTACCGTAGTACATATATATATACAGCTATAATATCAGCGTCCGTTAGTTCACATTCACGTAATAATCCTTTTTTTTTTTGCCATTTGGACGTTATACTTGAAAAGTGCGTCTATGATAACCTTTATTATGACATTCTGATTGTCTGGTGACTACATAATTCTCTTAATTATGCAATTGACTGAGTAGGCATTATTATAACAATAACGTCGGTTTTCAGATTGGGTATTCTCGGTATCGGGATACTCCTTATTGCACTCATGGTTGATGGAGTGCCTAAAGAAAACTTTAAAACCTGTGAGCAGAGCAGTTTTTGCAGGTAACTATAATATATCTTATCTGAATTGTACCAGTATTTAAATTAATCTCCAGAGCCTTTATGATAAGATTGATTATTTAATATTAAAAACACTGATATTGATAATATTAAAGATACTGATGTTGACACTGAAAAATACTGATATTGATACATACTGATTATTGATTTTTTCTCTGTCCTCAGACGATGCCGTAAACAAGAAGCAGGAAAAACTCCTTACAAGCTTTTACCAGACACTATATCTCAAAATGAGTCTACCTTTCAAGTTGAACTATACAACAAAGACACTGGAATTTACTACAAAGTTGATCTCACAGCTTTGAAGAATGGTTTATTCAGGCTGTACATCAATGAAAAGAATCCAATCCATCCAAGATATGAAGTAGAATATGCTCTGCAATATCCTCCTCAGCTTACCAAACTAAATGTAGTTGAAAAGACAGCATCTCAGATTACTGTTGTCAATGGACCAAACAAGGCAGTTCTTCACATTGCTCCTTTCAAGATTGATCTGTATTCTGGTGACCACTTGGTTATTTCTGCCAATGCTCGTGGACTCATGAGATTTGAGCATTTACGTACTAAGCCAGAGCCGTAAGTATCACAGCTGCCTTACTTGCATACTCATTTGTCAAACACTGCTGACATGAATATTTTATTTAGAAAACCAGAACAGCCAGAAGGAGAAAATGCAGAAAAAGCAGAAGAACCAGTATCTGAATTCCCTGGTGATGGTGCAGAAAATGATCCAGGAGCATGGGAAGAAAACTTTAAGAGCCACCATGATGCTAAGCCCTTTGGACCTGAAGCTGTTGCTCTGGATTTCAGCTTCCCAGGAGCTGAACACGCATATGGTGTGCCAGAACATGCTGATTCCTTAGCTCTCAAATCTACTAAAAACTCTGAACCATACAGACTGTACAACTTAGATGTATTCGAATATGAAGTGAATGAAAGAATGTCGCTTTATGGTGCTGTTCCTGTTCTATATGCGCATGGGTAAGTTTGTTAAACATTAATGATCATGACTGTTAATATGTTACACTGATTTCAATCTGTTCTTTTCTGTAGAAAAGAAAGAACGTCTGGAATTTTCTGGCATAACGCAGCCGAGACTTGGATCGACATAGTTTCTAACTCAGATAACAACGTGGTCGAAAGTATCGTTAACTACGTGTCTGGTTCGGGTAAAAAGCCGCAAGTGGACGCTCACTTTATGTCTGAGTCCGGTGTCATTGACATCTTCTTTTTACTTGGACCTGAGCCCATGGACACTTTCAAACAATTCGCCACTCTCACCGGTACTGCTCACTTGCCTCCCGTAAGTATTCTACTCCGATAAACAAAATAACGGCCTTTATATTAAAAATTTTCATTACTTAGCGTGTTGTTTTATTCGATAGATTTTTTCACTTGCATACCATCAATCGAGATGGAACTATAACGACCAAGAAGACGTGCAGCAAATTGCTGACAGCTTTGATAAGTACGATATGCCACTGGACGTAATGTGGCTGGATATCGAGTATACCGACAGCAAAAAGTACTTCACCTGGGATAAAAGGAAATTTCCTAATCCATTAGAGATGGTGAAAAATCTTACGGATAAGGGTCGTAAACTCGTCGTTATTATCGATCCTCACATTAAACGTGATAGCGGTTACTTCTTACACAACGACGCTACGAGTAATGGCTACTATGTAAAACATCGAGATGGCAAAGATTACGAAGGATGGTGCTGGCCTGGTTCATCTTCTTATCTTGATTTCTTTTATCCTAAAGTTCGTCATTTACTTATACTAGAAATATTGAGCATTTATCGAGACTTAAAAGGTATAACAAAAAACTTTCGTTTTGTAGGTGAGAGAGTATTACATGGATCTGTACGATCTGAGTAAATTTGAGGGTACGACCAACGATGTGCACATCTGGAATGACATGAACGAGCCATCGGTGTTCAACGGTCCTGAAGTCACTATGCCAAAAGATCTGGTACACTTTGGTGGCTGGGAACATCGTGACGTGCATAACATCAACGGAATGGTTTACACAATGGCCACCTATGACGCACTGTTCAAGCGTTCCGGTGGCAGTCTAAGGCCTTTCATTCTTTCGAGATCGTTCTTCGCCGGGTCGCAGAGATTTGCTGCTGTGTGGACTGGTGATAACACTGCTGAGTGGGAGCATCTTGAAGTCTCTTATCCGATGTGTCTGTCGCTTGCTATCTCGGGTATATCATTCTGCGGTGCAGACGTTGGTGGATTCTTCAAGAATCCCGATTCAGAACTTTTTGTCAGGTAAACTTATAATATTTTATAACAACCAATTAGTTAAATTTTATTTAATTAATGGATGTTTTTATGGATTTCTAGGTGGTACCAAGCAGGAGCTTGGTTACCGTTCTTCCGTCAACATTCTCATATCGAGACGAAACGTCGCGAGCCGTGGACATTCAACGACGAAGTCGTGAATATTGTTCGCGAATCTCTACGTTTACGTTACTCTTACTTACCGCTTTGGTACACATTGTTCCGTGAGCACGAAGTCAACGGCACACCTGTGATACGGCCAATCTGGGCTCATTACCCCAGCGAGTCCGATGCTTTTGCTATTGACGACCAACTGTTACTGGGTGATTCTATTCTCGTTAAACCCGTGTTCAAGCCTTCTGTTGCCGAAGTCACGGTTTATTTCCCTGGTCAAGGCAAGGTTGCTTGGTAAGAGATAAAACATTAAGTTTAATATTAAACAATAAAATTTGTTAAAACGATTGATTTTTATTTAATCTTTCCAGGTATGACATTGACACAATGCAGAAGTACGGTGAGACAAGTAAATTAACAATGCCAGTAACGTTGCACAGGATTCCAGTATTCCAACGTGAAAGTACAATAGTTCCTCGTAAAATGCGTATTCGTCGTAGCACCGAGGCGATGAAAAACGATCCGTACACGTTAATCGTCATCGCTGACCAGCAGGGACAGGCTAAAGGCAATCTTTACATCGACGATGAGGCGAGCTTTGAATACAGACATAATAAGTATTTGGCGCTAAGATTCAAACTTGAAGGTAAAAAACTTACCTCGACACTCCAACAAAAGCTTGCTAGTTACGAAACTAAGAGTTGGCTCGAACGTGTTGATATTGTTAATCCACCTAAGGGTATAACCAAAGCTGTGTTGCATTCTAAAGGTTAGTTTGACTGTTATTTTATTTAACACATTTGTAGAATATACTTTAAGTAATAACTAAATCAATACTTCTTTTTTAGCTCTTGGCAAAGTAGACCTTGAAGCCAAATACAACCCTAATAACAACGTGTTAACAGTGCGCAAACCAGGTGTAAATATGGGAGAAGAATGGACAATCGACTTAGTTGCTTAAATAAAAGCTGTCTAAAGTAAAAGCACCACAGGCAAAAAAAGTTTTAAAAGACTTTGATACTCGAAACACATACATACACATACATCATCACTTACTCAAGAAAGAGAAGAGCATTTTAAAGTGAAAGAACGAAGCAACGTTTTATTTTATCTGTAATCCTCTAAAGTAACACATAGTGCTGCATAGAATCCTACTTAGAATATAAGATTTACGATCTAACGTGCAAGTAGCTCGATAGAGCTTGTAAATTAATCATTTATACAAGTAGTGCGAACAAAGCACAACGACGTTGGATTTTATATATTATGTCAATAGTGAGCTCACCGTCTTTGCATGTGTGTGCGATAGTGCATTTATTGTTTCCAGCTGGCAAGCTGCGATAAATATTTTTTTTATTGTCTTTGAGAATGATTAATACTTATACTATACATTAGTGGAGATATGGCAATACAATGTTTTGAAAAATTGTAATTAAGACATCGAAAATTAATGAAATATACATTTTACGTTGTATTACATTTGTACGTGTTTTCTTGCAGAGTAAATTCTCAACTAAATTACTTATCTTAAAGGATAAAACATAACACTTTAGTATAGTGTATTATTCTTTTAATTTTAATTGATTAATTTATGAATAGAGGGTGACAAAATTAATCAACCAAGTTTAAAAATCTTATTGCAAATATTTAATAAATTCATTTCAACATTATTTATAATTTTCACAAAACGGAAAGTTTATCTTGGATCACAACAGAAAGGCTGTGAAAAAGGTCGGATAGCTCGGAATGTATAAAAATATGATATATTCCAAACAGCATTTATAGAGAAACATTTGAGTGTTAGGCACGTTCCGTAGGCGCTTGTTTATGCGCGAGGTAGAGGAAACCGATAGATGAGAGCGCCGATACAAGAAATATTACGTCAAACCAGCGATGATAAAAATTAAATTGCAAGTCACCGAGTACTTTTTCTATTATTCGATACTCAGCTGGCATGTTCATTCGCATCAACAACACTGACGAAACAAAGTACATACCCTAAAAAATTTAATTTAATCTAAAATTTGGTTGACATTAGTCAAGAATAAATAAAAAGAATGTTATCTTACCATTATCTGAGCAAGAATAAGCACAATGATGTTTGACGATTTGCTGCTTGATATTGCATAGAAAAACTGCAATGAAATATTTCATATCAATAATACTTCATTCAAGATACTAAATTTTAAGAATTCTTAGCCAAACCTTTGTGAGAGTAAGCAGCAATCCTCTAATAGATGTCACGACAATGCAACCAACGAGGTAAAATGATATGTGTTGTGACCAAAATCCTATGTCTATATCAAAACCCATCCAATGTACGACTATCTCCATTCCTCTGGTCACTGGATCTTTTTTACCGACACGATCAAAAACTATATTTATTGTGGACTAAAACACAAGACGTTACATTAATTCACTACGACTTAACATTTACAGAAATAAAAATAAAGTACTTACAATAAAAATTTTCCACATACAGTATATAGAAAAGAAATATCCTAGGAAATTAAAATATTTTCCTTTCCATGTGGCAGACCATTCCAAACGCTCTCTTGCATTCTGTATATCATGAGCCTCTAAAAACAATTGTCGAGACAATTCTTCTAGTCCTGCTACTTCCTGTTGCAATTGCTTTATATCTGAAATTCCAAATGTTTTATACAATTGCTATGTATACACAATCAGTTGATAATCGTAATCTTACTTTCATGATTTCCTTTCATGCCAGCCAATGGAGTCAACATGTCCCATAATTTTGATCTGGCATCAGTCTGTATGCTTTGAACTACTCCTCTTTTAGCCAAAGCAATACGTTTTTTCTTGGCAATAATCATATCCATAGTCTGTAGCAATCTCTTTTCAATCATTTGGACATCAGCATAAGAAACAGGCCTCATAAAGTATGCCATAGACGAATATGGATAATTCACAGCACCAAAGCCTGACAGTAGTGCCATTACTGTTACCCCAATAACACCTATCCTACTGACTCCTTGCTCTATCGATAAGAGACCCTTTTTTGGACTGAGAATAGGAAATGGATCACCCAATTTCCAGAATAAATATAAATAGAAAAGGTATATCAACAATGTTAAAGGTCGTATGAGGTTCAGCCTTACTGCAATATAAAAAAATAAAATATGTTCAGATTTTGTCATTAAGTATGAAAATGTAATTTATGCACCATTTACCAAATGTAATATTGCTAATAATAAAGTAGGCAATGTAAAATGGTATTAAAACTATAACCATAAACAGTAACATATAGAGGCCAGCATTCCAGTGAAAATACCTAGAACTGTAAGAATAAAATAATAATGAAAATTTATTTCAAAATGAAAGTAAAAATGAAAATGTTGATCTTACCTAGACTCTAATACTCCAAGTATTTCAAAAATAATTAGTTCAAACATGGTGCATGATAATGCAAAGGTGGTAGAGAAAATGAGCTGTACCAGTCTATGGTGCACCTCATAGTCTCGAAATAGTTGTTTCACAAAAAATACCCATCCACCCAAGAAGAAGAATAGCTGAAAAAATGCAAGTATTGTTAATACCAATCTGAAAAAAAATCAACAATTAATAACAATCAATTGTCTATGTAATAGAACATGTTACTACAAGTTTCTCGTATAATCATAAAAATAGAAAAATTTTCCAAACATTTTTAGCAGCTATTTAAACGATAAGAAACAATATATTCTAGTTAAAAATACTATTACTACTACAAAAACAAAATTTTCTTCCCATATTTTATAGGTTAGCCGCAACAAAAGAAAGCAATTCTCAAAACATCTAACCTGGGTAACGAGGATGATGATAGTGTCCTCGATGAAACCCATTGTACTTCATTTAATATTCACACATCGAAATACGTCTCATTTTTCAAATGTAATTGCCCGGTGGCGGACGACAAATTGTCATTGTTGGCTAAAGTCATAACGACAATCGCATTCGTAGATTTCCACGCACAAGCCGCAACTGTCGTGTTCGTCTCGTTGGCAGCGCGAGCGCATGGTTGATATTTTGAATATTCGAACTGAACGACGCGCGAAATCACACAACACACGCGCACATCACATACCTAACATACCTATACATATGCCCATATGCCTATAAAAGTTTGCGGTTGCGGGTATCCATTCCGTTGCGATAATGTCAGCGAACGACTATACATTTCTCCAACCTGATGTGTGCTATTGTCCAACGCCTCCGCGAGTGTTCAAGATAGTCTCAAAAACCCTGATGTCCGGATCTGTAGTGATGGATAATACCAATTGTTCAGCATCGCAACCACCGACACCATTAATCGTCGATTATGAGAGTGTCGGCATCGATCGTGCAAAAATAAACCTGTGGTTTGCCGCGAGAACGACAATGAGAAAAGAACAATGACGCGTACATAGCGCGACAAGTGTTTGTAAATAAGCCAGGAATTTGAATTTTTTACGAGTTTGTACGTATACTAGGTGTGCGCGTGAGTCGCTGTTGTCTCTTTTTATTTTAAGATCTGATATATAGTAGACGTAGTTTCTCTCGGCAAAAGCCGGATTACATTCGAAGGAGAAAAGAACGTTTAACCGTTCAACAATAACAAAAGCCAAAAGAAAGGGAGAGAGAGTGCAAACACGTGGTGTATATAATTGTGGAATTGAGTCCTGGACGTTACAGGGACGACAACATTGCTGAGAGCGCGTCATGGAATCGCTTACAGTGAGTTCTATTACACTTTTCCAAAGTACGCCAAGATGATATTAAAGACCGCTGTATTGTCGTTTGACATACAGTAATGGATGTAAACCTTTCACAGCCGATTGTGCAATACGCGTACTTGCAACCGTTGAACATTCTCGACGATGTCACCGACAACAATACTAAACATGAACGTGAACTCGGATCCACCGACAGTCCAGCTTTAACACCAACCATCGAGGAATTCGTGTCGAAGGACTTACACAGCTACTTTTTTGGTAAAGGCAAACTACTTTTTGACGAGCCCGATACTTTGCCGATCATTCGGGTTACAGTGCAGCCTACTCGAACTGATTTCGTGATAAAAAACAAGAAAATGCAGAAGGTACGAAGATTCTTTTTGTGAAGAAATTGATTGCTTTACGCGATTACAATGCATATTGCGTTTTCAGAACATACAACCAACTGCTGTACAATTGCCGCAAAAACAGCAATCTATCAAGCCAACGAACGACGTTGAGCGAAAGGTGTCCTGTCGAAGTTGCGACAGAAAATTCGTCACCGTTGATGACATGAAGATTCACGCGGCGACTCACCTGAAGAAAAAGAATAAGGATTGCTTCGTTTGCGGCAGGAGATTCAGTCACGGAGGTGCACTTTGCCTTCACATGCGATCCCATAAATTTGCACGCTCAAGAAAATCATGAATCTATTTGAAGTATTTTTACTTTTTTTTCGAGTAATTTTCATTAATAGCGAATCATATCTTACTTATATTTTTGTGTAGTCTGAAATTTTTGTTTACACATTTTTTAATTGATCAATTATAAACTAAGATTTTTGAGATTTACTGTTTATTTTTTGTGCAGTACTATAATTATTTAATTACGAGTATACTACAGCGATTCGAATGTTTATTCAATGTATAAGTGTTTATAATAATCAAAATCATTTACGAGATTCCTAATTAATTATTTTTATTTTTACCAATTTAAAAAATATTCCATTTTACGTTGATTAGTGATTTTAACAAATATTTTAATTCTATTTACCAACAATCACTTTGTAACGATGAAAATTATTGTGCAACTGTATTAGTTTACTAAAAGATAATATTTAAATTTAAGTGTCATCGAAAACCACCCTGAATCGATATAATCAAGATCATTTATTTGAGATTCCAGTCGATACTTATCCGACCAAAACAAAACCACGTGATTAATTCTTTGTTTCGAGAGTACACGTCTCCGGCACAGTACGTTTTCTTCGATTTTGAGCTCAAGAAGTTTTTTGCTTACTTCTATTTCATTATTTCCTTTCCTCTAAAGTATTTCCTTTAATTTCCTTCCGTTCCTCTTATAAAAAAGAGAACCTGACTAAATGAAGCTGACTTATTCGTGATCAGATGTTGTGATATTTGTGTTATGTTCGGTCATAAAACATTACTGCGGATTTTCGTAGATTAGACGTTCAAAAAGTGTATTAGCATAATAATTGACATGTATTTGTATATAAATTGATTAATTTAATGATGTTAACTTTATAATAAAAACCAAGTAATACCTCGATAAAAAAATTAATTAAACATTTGCTCTATCCAAAATTTTAGTTTCCGACTTCAACGTACATATAGAACGTATAGTACGTTGTGTAATACGCATTTGTGGTAGGCTAGATTTATTTACTTAAACAAAATAAAACAAATCGTTACTGACTTTTTGTTTTATTGTTGCAGGATAATTAATATTGTAAGTGCAAAATACTTAGAATCACATATAATTTCATACATACGATTAATAGAGAACAGCTTTAGCTGATAGTAAGTTTAACACGTACATGCAACCATTGTTTGTAGCAAATTTCTTCCTTTGAACATTTTTAATAAATGACGATATAATTACGTCATCGCTACTTTCTTCATATATCAAAACAGTAGGTAGCAAATTAATTATCTTCTTTAATCAAAATAAAAGCGATTAAAATTTACACTTTAGAAAATTGTTATTTCAGAAAATTGAATTTTCAAGATGGACAGTGAAAAAAAAGCAGTATTGGATATTATTAACTCAAACTACTTTAAAGAATTGATAAAGCAAGAGATTACTCGCATTTCCAAAAGCAACAGTGTTTCAGAGTTGGCTAGATTGCAGGGTGACTTTAGTTTCCAAAATAATTACCATGCTACTGAAGATCATGATGATATTTGGAAATTTTATTCAATGAGTATAGCTGTTGCAGAACAGAATTCAATGGAACTTGGTCTAGCATACAGCCAAAGATCTTCTATTTTGTTACACATGTGCATGTTTGAAGAAAGTCTTGTAGATATTAACAGAGCACTAAATATTGTTACCGGCAATTTTTTACGCTTGAAATTGCTGCTTCGTAAAACCAAATGTCTGCATGTATTACACAACAAAGACAAAGCTTACAGTGTTTTGAAACAGGCTGAATGTACATTGAAGAAGATTACTAGTTTAGTAATGAAACAGTTGTTTGAACAAGAAATAAAAGAGATAAAGACTAAAATTAATGGACCTCGGTGTAAGGTTCTTAAGCCTGCAAACCACAAATGTAATAAACTTCAAATTTTAGAGGAGATACATCCAGTAAATAACTTTTCATCGGTGAAAATTCAAAGAGATGAAAAGTATGGTAGGTACTTAACTGCAACTAAAGATATTAGTCCTGGAGAAGTGATTTACATAGAAAAGCCATATATCCAGTGTTTGAATCTTAAAAAACTGCATGCATACTGTTCACACTGTTTCAAAACCACATGGACAAATATTCCCTGCATAAATTGCTCTTGGACTATGTTTTGCTCTGAAGAATGTAGGGATGACGCTTGGTTAAAGTATCATGACGTGGAGTGTTCAGTTTACGCATATGCAAAGGATGATATAAGTAATGATCAAACCAAACAGATGGCCATCAGACTTATGATTATGGCTGTAAAAGAATATGGCACTATTGAAAAGTTAGAGGCTCAGTTGCAGAAATGGGATGAGTCTCAGGGTAAACAATAACTTTAAATATTTATAAAGAAGATTAATGAATTATAATGTAAACTAGCAGTGAATATTTTTATAGATAACGAAGAAGCATTCTTGGAGAATGAAGAAATAAAAAGCAATGGATTCAAGTCAGTGTATATGATGTCAAGCCATGTTACACCTAAATTTTTTAGAAAACACAAAAAAGATGCTGCAAAAGTTTTGAGATCTCTAGGTAAAAATACTGAATTTTTCGGAATCAATTTTGACTACACAAATGTTGATAGCTACACAAGGAATGAGAGGGTTTTGTTTCTGGGAGCCTTGTTTCTAAGGTTGTATAAAATTTGTGATCTTAATAGTTTTCAAGTGAGTACCATATTTAATTCTTTCCATCTGCATTTATTATATTTCGATTGTATTGGTTTCAAATTTTATAGATGTGGAACGACTCTTTTGAATGTCAAATTCATTTACCTCTTAATATCATGTGCTGGATGAATGAATGCTGTAGCAGAGGTATTTATATTGCTCCCATTACAAGTCTACTCAATCATAGTTGTTACCCAAATGCAAGTAGATGTTATAGCGATAATCACAAAGTGATCTTGTATGCTCTACTACCTATCAAAAAAGGAGATCAGGTTAGAAAAAATTTTTTTATATGTAATATTGTATCATTAGTAATCAATGAATTTGTGTTTTGTAGATTTTTCATCCTTACATAGATACATATTTCGAATTTCCCGCTGGAGATAGGCGAACGTTTTTATCTCACATATACAACTTCACTTGTGAATGTGCACCTTGCCAAGAGGATTGGCCAGAATACAAAGAGAATGATGAATATTCCATCAAACTTGCACGTGATCTAGAAATAATTCAAATGACTAAGTCGGAATATGAAGAATTGACGAAGACAAAAGAAGATACTACACAAAGTGAGGATAAAATAATATTAAACAAATTGAGAAAAGGTATAGAAAAAACACTAAAAAAATTACCTCAACCATCTTTACGTACACTTGAATTCATAAAAAGATTATCATCCAAATTTGAGTTTATCTATGGCATTTGGTTAACAGTACCTGATGATTGTAATCTTGCATATCCTTTATAACTTTCAAAATTCTAATAGCTGTAAATTTTGTATTAATTTTTTTCTATGTTTTTATTCCTAAACTGGATTTATTGTATTATTTGTTGTGTTGACTGCATATAAATAATATATTTCCAAATGCAATAATAAATAAATGATTTTTAGCAAATCAGTTGTGTTATACCTGTTGATATGTATCCAGCTTCTTACCTTCATGTTTTACAAAATAGAAATTTTAGTTTTGAAGTATATAAGTGCGCATTTCAAAGTCTATACTGGCACACCTTGGCTTTTCCTGCTTTAGTTGTATTTTGTTGATTTTTTGTGCGCATCGATAAGTGGCATATCGAAGAATATTATACTATAGATATTTATGTTACTGTTTGCAATGCATAATTTGCAATGACGGTTTTTAATTATTCTTTTACAAGCTATTAAGTGTATTATGCAATACACTTGTGATTGTCAATTGAACGTTGTGACTTATTGCATTCTAATAATTAACAACTTAGTAACAATGTGATCGTCGCATTATATAAAAACCCTGGCAATCAAGTGAACGAAATGAAAGGATTTGACGATTCATAATACATGTATATAGCACGAAATAATTTAAAAATCAAAGCCTAAGAAAGGTATATATTTTTCTTTACTTTTCCTGAATATTCTATCAATATTATAAGTAAAAATGAAGTGCAATATAATATTGCTACAATGGAAATTGTTTAAATTATTTTCGTAAATTTATGCTGAAAATCATTTTTCCGCGTTCGTCTTTTATTTCTGCCTAATTATTATAGAAATACACATCAATCAGCTGATGTATTTTATTTTTTGTATTATTAATTTTGAAAATTTTACGCCATCTACTTTATTTGTTAAAAAATCGGAATTTATTGATGGGGAAATATGATTGCTTAGAGTAAAATTGATACACGACGAAAATTTTTCATTTCATCCACGGTGTATGTTTTGTTCATAAAGTTTTTCTTTCTGCGATGTCACACAATAAATATCTTTCGTACAAATATCCGTTGCATATTCCATTGACTTTAGAGACTTTATAGTGATTGTTCAACATTTAAAATAAAGTCCACAAGTGAGTTTCGTTGCCTTGCTGTACATCGATCAGACTTCCATAACAGTATATCGACGTCATGCATTTTAACAAATGCTAATGATTTTACGAGTTCAGTAGATACATTGATTCTTAACAACTCCGTTTATACAATGCGCGATAGAATATTATTTAACCTAATACAAGATCGTTTTGTTTTGGAGGGAAGAAGGAAGGAGAATCATTTTTCAAATAAGTATCATAATAAATATCGAGAAGTGGATGCTGCATGCTAGAAAAACAAATTAGTTCGCATCTGTCACCGAACTCACTTTCTCTCTGCAAGACGCTTTCTCATGCGATTGTCATCTTTAACAAACGGCTCTACCCATTTAGAGAGCAATTAATCAGTGATAATATCCAAACTGTAAATTATCTCAGCAATTTTGACTATCAATTGATGTATATAATTATTTTCATCATTCAATAGTAATAATCTCAAAGAATATAATCGTGTATGAATTTGCACACCGCAAAGTGTACCCGTGTGACTGACTCGAATGTTCAACAAGTAAATTACACGTTACATCCCCTCGTACAGACACCCAGTATTCACCGGCGACATCGAATGATTTCTTCATCAAGGCCAACAGGTGGTTCTCAAAGTCGACATCGTCCAACAAGTCTGTTCAAACTTTCATGCTAGCATTTATAATCGTAGCTCGGGGTGACGAGGCCATTGTTAATGGACTTTTTTTCAAACGCCACTCGAATTACACATCTGTTTACGCCATCCTTCTTCTTAGTTTCGATTGAAGGCAGTTATCGCGTGACAAACAAAATGTTCGATCGGGCAACATAATGAAACTGCCAACGCGTCATTGGTGCGCGGGAAAATCACACTGCGCACGGTGTGTCGAAGAACAATTACGTAATAATCGCAGTCGGACAAGGGTCACGCCGATTTCAAAGTTGTCGATACTGTTAAGCGCTTCGAACGCTGGCTAAAATGCGAAGTCTTATAGTTGCGTTCGCCGACCTCCTCCCCTTTACCAAGTATTCGACGAGTAGGCGTGTCAATACTTGATGAGGTTACGGAGAAAAATGTCGCCGAACGTACGTCTCCTTCCAAGCTCGCTTCGCTTGGCAAAAGAAAAAAAAAACTGCCGCGCCAGGTATCGGTGAAAAAAATGTGCGCGCGGCGAGTACCGGCACTCGTCAATATTTGATGAGCGTGCGTGTGGAGGGTACGTCATTGCGCTTCGTTTTTGCAAGAGAAGCGGCTATTTCTGTGGAGTTGCAGGCGGGCAAGAATAAAAATAAATAAATGAATAAAAGAAAAAAAGCAGAAAATAGAGAGAAAAATAGTGGCGCGCGATCGAACGAGCTCGCCGCTAATATTTGATGAGCGTCGCAGAGCGAAGAAACAATTGTCCTCCCTGTAGATGTAGTCCATGAATACTGGATGAGCGTCGGTCCGTCCGTTTGTACAACGTATCTTATATTTGTAAAAAAAAAAAGGAAAACGCCTCCTTCGTGCCAAGTCCATGATCAACGAGCGAAAGACGCGCTGCCTGCAGACTGCAGGGCAAGAGGGAATGGGATCAAGCGTACCAGCAACTTTATGCAAACGTTTATAGGTTAGCTTTTTAATGTCAATGTTCCTCGTGGGTTCGACCATAGACATAAAAGATAGACTGCTGATACCAGGTTATGGAATTGTCCGTGAGAGTGAGAGAGATAGCAACAAATAGCGGGAAACTTCTGTTTCTTTCTAGTCGACGCTTATTGGCTGTTGCCGTGCATGTGCCTACGCGTTCTTTGACTAGCAAATTTGAACTAAGATTCATAATAAAAATTAATTAATTTTAACAATATACTAAAAATCAATGTCACTGTTTTCCAAATAAAGGTAAGTGCTATAAATATAAGAAAATCACTTGAATTCCTGTATATTATTTTATTGTTCACATGCTAAACAATAACAATTACTGATTTAATTTTTTACAATATCACAGGCAGTCTTTTAAATCCTCTGTACAGTTGTGTGTCGAAATTGTTATATATGTAAAACTGTCTATGTGCTGTTTACCTTTAAAAAAAAAAATTTAGATAATCACCATGTAAAGAGCAGGTACAATTCTCTTGTAAGAATGATGGACGAGAATAATTTGACAATATCTGATTTGAATAACAATTTCGACACACAACTATACAGAAGATTCAAATGGCTGCCTGTGATATTGTAACGAATTAAAACAGTAATTGTTATTGTTTAGCATGCGAACAATAAAATAATATACAGGAATTCAAGTGATTTTCTTATATTTATAGCACTTACCTTTATTTCGAAAACAGTAAAATTGATTTTTGGTATATTGATAAAATTAATTAATTTTTATTATGAATCTTAGTTCAAATTTGCTAGTCAAAGAACGCGTAGGCGCATGCACGGCAACAGCCAATAAGCGTCAACCGTTATTTGTTGCGATCTCTCTCACTCTCGCGGACAATTTTATAACCTGATATCAGCAGTCTATCCTTTATATGTCTATGGGTTCGACGCGGTTCCGTACAACGGGCCGGTCCATCGTAGAGATTCGGCGAGAGCACTGAAAATTGATAGCATCTGCAACAAAATGCGAACCAACCAAAGTGACTCGATGAAAGAAATGCCATCAACGCGACTTGAACATACGGAGCCGAAGCTCTCCAGCGACAAGGTGAAATATGGCTGGACTAGCTCGGGCGATAATCACGACAAAAAGTTTCATCCATGCGACTGAAGAAGGCGTCCGCCGATACAGCACAGCTCTGTAACCAGCGTTGAAGTTTAGGTTGAATTGTGGATTTGAATAATAAAAATTAGTCACCTACTTGGTAGATCGGATGGCCCGGTGCCCGTTGAATGACAGCTCGCTCAGGGCGTCGAATCTATGGAGGTTCATCTTGAAAGCAACTCGATGCGACACGATCGAGAGTGGACAGTTCTGTACCAGAAATACTCGAATGACAAAAATTATTTCGTATCCTGACCATAAATCAGTCGACTCCTTTACATGACTTCTGGGGAAATAATATTTTTTCTTTAACTAATTGAATTTCACATGATATTGTTTTCACGATGATGTGATATATAACTAGAAAGTGGACGATGACGTGTTTATGTTACAGACTCGTAAGGCAAGACTCTTGAAACTGTAGCAATAACACCTGGGCATTGGCCGAATAAAGAACGTCGATGAAGATGCAACGGCCGAGAAGTAGCACGAGCGCAGTCTTTCGCACCTTCGTCTCCCTCGTAATCCAGCACTGCACTGCAGCGCAAAGGTAGTGGCGCAAATTGACCCCTCACGGTTTTCCAAATCGCGTGGCTCGCCCGCAGATCGTGAATGAACATGCCATGTCGATGGCGTAAACGCGTAATCTCGAAGGGAAAGTGTGTGGGCAAACAACGAAAGCACCTGTAAGGTAGCGGTACAGGCGATCGTAGATCTCATTCTCAGAGACAGCTCTTATCGCAGAAGCGAATTGTAAGTCGAGCTCGTTGCGCGACGATTGCTATTGTTAGTTGACAAACATACCACGACGGTTAAAGCAAGATTGAAAGCGTCGGTGAAGTCTCTGCGCGCTGCCGGTCTCTGAGTATACGAATGAGTTTTTCCTCGAGTGAAAGCCTTGCTTCTGATTTGGAAAATAGTCGGTGGTTTTCGCTGACCGAACAGGGATCGACTGCAAGACTTTACTTTCGTCGTTACCATCTAATACAGTCGTGTGCATACCAAGAACAACGTAAAGCATCGAAATTTTTTAGTATTTTAAGCGACGAAACAAAACTCCCGGTTAACTTCTTGAGCGACAGAGCATCGTCAGCCTGGTGAAATTCAGCATTGACGAGCACGAGAAATTTTTATTTTCAGTTACCTTAATATTTGCATAGATTCATACTCAATCTTCAGCATCGACATCTACAGGGAGATCATCAGCTCCCTACTGAAAGCTTCTATAGCGTTCATTATTAAAATGTTATGTGAGCGTCAAACGTGCATTTTTCGATGACACTCTGCGTTTTTTAAAGCCGTAAAACACGCTTGATTATTCGACTTATGGCAGGACTTTTACCGTGCGATTCGTCATATGAAATACCACGTCGGTTATAATATATCAAACTTATGCGTCAACAGAACAGATCCCGGAAGGTTTAAAGGCCTTTCCACGCGAATCGCCACGACTACTGGTAATAAATAATAAAGCTCGTTCATGAAAAGTATGAGTTAAGCGAATCAGTGTAATATTTCTAAGTATTTGCAAGTTGCGTCAATTGCGTTGAAACAGTACGTCTGCTCGTTCGAGCGTGCTACGTCTAAGGGCACACACATACAAATCAGGTATATACTACTGCTAAATCCTGCTGGGCGCGCGACGCTTCCTCGCGCCCCTTCAGTCGTTGAAATTTCTGAGCACCGTGAAGAACGAGAAGGCGCTGGTGAGCATCTGGGCGAAGAACAAGAAGAAAAGAAGGAGAAGAGGACGTTGGCGAGTCGCGCAACGACGAGACTTACGGAGCCGAACTTCTCCAGGGACAGGTAGACGACGCCGGCGGCGGTGATCTGGACGGGCCGCTGGGACCTCGCGATGACGAGCACCAGCAGTTTGCCCAGTCGACGCCTCATCCAGGTGACCGACACGGAGTACGCCGCCGTCGAGATCGCCGAGCTCTGCAACAGCCGCGACGACGTGGCGTCATTTCGGCGCACCCGCGCGGCCGCGCGCGCGCGCGTACCTCGTCGATGAGATTATCGGGCGCCCACTGGCAGATGTACAGCTGGGCTACGTTGATGATCATGAGCGGCGCGAACTTGTATCTGTCGGGCTCGGACTTGAAAGCAAAGGATCGATTAGGCCCGCGGAAGGAGGCGGCGATCTCGCGTCGATCGGCTGCTTACACCGGCCAGCTTGATCCCCGTGAGCGATATGTTGTACACGGTGCACAGCAGCTGTATGAAGAACAGGTTCCGCGTGATTCCGTCGATGCCCGAGCAGAATCTGCAACGAGACGGCGAGCGGATGAGGCGATGGCGGCGCGGAGACGAGGCCGGGAGCGCGACGTAGATACCCGAGTATCCGCTGGTGGAGTCGCGAGCAGAGGACGAGCTCCAGGTCGGCGCTCGCCTCGTCGCCGTCGTCGGCCACGCGCGCCAGTCGGCGCTGCAAGGCGCGAAAGTAGCCCGCGCCGATCATGATGAGGAACGGCGCGGCCGAGTCGACGCTCGGGCCGTAGATGCAGGCGTTGTTGGTCACCATCACTTGCGTGGCGAAGATCGCCTTGTAGCCGGGCCAGCGGTTGGGCGCGTCGTCCGAGTACCACCTGTCGACGCAGTCGGCCGTGAGCTCTGACGGCCTCGGGCGCTCTCGCGGCGCGGGATACCGACTTGAAGGGCAGGTAGCGCGCACGGGTGCCGTTGACGCTGCTGGCGGTGGCGGTGGCGAAGGCGGCGCTCGCGCAGTAGGCGAAGTTGGTGGAGAAGAAGCTGACGAGCAGGAACTTGAACAGGCGACGTATCTTGCGCTCGAAGCGGCAGACCGACCGGCGACCGTCCTCGTCCAGCTGCTCCCAGATCGCCCGGCACTCGTCCAGCAGCTCGACGAAGTCCCGGCGACGCAGCAGCAGCAGGTAGTAGCGCAGAGTCGTGCCCGCCACCACGATCGTCTCGCACGTCGCGTCGATGCTCGGCACCTTGATCTGCGGCGCTTCGTCGCTCGTTACGGCCCGTGCCAAGCTCAACGTCGACGCGCTCGCGCTCTCACCATGTAGCACACGAACATGCTCCAGTAGACGAGGCTCAAGGACAGGCAATAGACGAGGAGCAGCTGGGTCAGCGGGTAGCTGAAATCTTGATTCTCGAACGGCAGGATCCCGACCAGTCTGAAGAAGCGCTTGTACCAGAGCGTCATGTCGTCGAAACTCGATAGACCGCCCCTCGCTTTACTCGACACTGTTGTTTCGGACAGAATGTTCGTTTTCGTTGTGTGTTCGTTCGATAACTCGGCATACTCACTCGTTGCAGAGGTGGAGGCAACGACACTGAGCGGGAGACTCATGCAGAATTGCGCTTCGACAACTTGGCTTACGGACAGTTTCGTTATGGCAAAACAGTCGCTTTAGAAAAATGCGTTAGTACGGTTCTGTCGTTACTTATTTCCTTAAATCAAAGAAAAACGAAGAAAAGATTAGATTCATTCGTGAAATTTCAAAGTAACGGTTAAGAAAACCAATGTTGCGCGAGGTCTACTGGTTACGATACTTTTAGGATATCGTGTATTCATTTTTTCTATACATATATCATCGCCAAATCAGGTTATTGAAAAGTCAGATTGCATTGCGTTAGTACTCGCTGTTCTGTCTGCTTGGTAACGCTGGATCGGGTAGCCGTTTTCCGATTCGCGTGCAGAATGATTCAGATGCCGAACCCGTTTGAAATTATAACTGGGACACACTGGATTCTTGCGTCTTCGGGGCTTCTTGCTGCCGTATTCGCGAGGAGAATGGCAAGTCATCGTTCCTGTGTTCATTTCAGGATCACGAAATAATCGACGACATTCGTTCGCAAGTGATGGCAGTGTCTGGCGTTGGACAGTGCGGAGCGCAGCCGCCTCGTTTCTCGTTGCATAACGAAGATATTTTCTTCTGAAAATAACATCGTGAAAATTCGTAGCTTTGGTAATCTAGAATTCATGGAATCGTCCGTGTAGTGATAGCAAAATGCTAAATTGCATAATTAACTGTGAGATTTGTTACCATATGCTCAATCTTGTGTTTTATGCAATAATTTCGATCGACTTCATTGCTTATGCGATTACGATACATGTTATTACATGGTACAAACTTATAAGACAATAAATTCATTGCAGTTCTATTTGTCACCGTTAGCACAATGACCAGCAAAATATCCGAAAAATAACGGGGAAACAAAACATCCGATGATCTATGAATTTTCCTCATTTTATGTCTGTCTTCATTCGTCATTTTCACCCCACAACTCTCATATTCAGCACGACCTGACATATACGTCAGCAGGTAATAACGCATGTTCACGGTGAATGCCATGCGATCCAAGTGCAGACCCAAACCGATTGTCTGCCGAGTAGTATAAACGCCGAGAATTCGTTGGAGAGCACGCACAGCTGATAAATAAATGTATGTAAACCCAATTAATGATTTTTATGCGATTAATTATATAGTTACATATTTTGTCTTCGACGAGAATTATGATACGGTTTATCACATGATTATAATTATGCCATTAATTTGATAATTCGCTTTCAAAAACATACGGCTAATCGGATCGGCTAATGGTAAGCCAGGTAAAGATTTTCGATTGGGTTAATGCCAAGGATATATAATTAGCACATATGTCATTACGAAAGATCCTCTTTATACTTACCGTACAAAGTTCAAAGTAAATTATCATTCAATCGATATTGTAGACGAAGTGGTGAATTTACTTACTTGAATGCACTACAGATGCAGATTATTTTTTTAAATAAGAATGAGTTTTAATTATGTAGCGTTACCGTGTCTTACTATCAGCTGATCTTTGTCGTGATCAAACGTTGAAATTTCTTAGAACTGCGAAAAAAAGAGACTACACTGGCAATCATCCAAATGGAAATTAAAACAGAGGAGTGCCAAGTCAAGTTGGAAACGGGGAAAAGCCTTCGGGCGACAAAACTCCGTGGGCGTCTACTCACCGAGCTCGTGTTCCCGAGCGGTAGGTCGACAGAGCCAGCGGCAGTCCCATCCCGAACGCTATTGCCATCGTGAGTACCAGGACCCTGCTCAGTTGGCATCGCACGGTGCAGCTCAGGTGCGCGTGCCCCGGGAGAGGCGCGACCAAAGTGAAGAACGCGGCAATGGTTGGTCGCTCGACAGAGACGCGTCGAACTGAAAAACGCTTTCGCGGATTTGGACTCGTTTGTAAAAAAGAAAAAGTTTTTTCTCTCGCCGCGGGCATTATATTATTGATGCTCGGGCGATCCAACCGGCTTTCCGGAGCGTTCCCTCGGCGGCCATATGAATAATCGATGAGTTAGAGAAAGAGCGTCTCGCCGTCCATTTATTATTTACGTGGCTCCTCTTTGCTTTTCGCGAGACCTGCGCATTGCCATTCGGCGACGAGCTCCCGCGGCGATCGGACAGCGCGCGTACGCTCGGCATAGGTGACCACCGTCCGTTAACCTCGGGCAAGGTGAGTAAATCAGTCCACGAGAGCGTCGATCCGACAAAGAAGCAGTCACTGGAACGCTCGAGCGATCCAGCGGCTGCGGTCTCGATTGGATTCCAAATCTCTTTGGCGACTCGACGCTTCGAGGCAGGCGGAGCGCGCTGCTCTCGCGCGAGAACCGCTGGAGGTTTTTTTCTTTGTCGTTTGCGCGAGCGACTGGCTACGATCGGACCGCCGAGTCGAATGGTTTGGAAGATTGCATTGCGCTCGAAACCAATGTCACCCGTAAAGGGAACGCGCAGCTCGGTCGACACAGCATCAGCATTACCCCGCGTATTCTTCGCTCAGCGCTTGGCAGGACCTGGTTGTACCTGTGCAGAGCTGGCTGAAAGAAACAACACGAGCACAATGATTCCAGTAAGCCCCATCCCGATCGTTGATGTGCTCGCATCTCGCAATTTCAAACCAACGCGAGCTGAAAACAGACAGAATAAAATATCAGCGAAGTTGAAGGAGACCAGTTGCTAGGTGTGCTGCACGTCGACCCTCGACATCGCTGCGTTACAAGTCTTCATCTTCTCGGATCTTCAGCAGCAAATCATCCGTGCGTAACGTATTGACAACTATTTGTAAAAAGATACCAAGCCGCACGACTATGATTGATCGTTTAATAATTGCCAACAGTAGAATGTGCAATTTGAAATATAGAATCTTATTTTACAACATGGTACGAACTTGTTTGCAAAGAAAACTCGCTGCAATTCTGTCTTTCATTGCGTATCGTAAGATCGTACTGCTCTGCCGCTCGCACTACTGTTGCCTCGGCTACGGTGGCCTAGAACATGCTACAGCGTGATCGTAAAGGCTACGTTGACGAATATTTGGAGGTATATTTAACGGTCGAGTATAACGTTGTTTCACTCGATATTATCGATTTATAAATATACATCGGTAGATAAGTATGAGGTCACACTATCGGCCAGCGAACAACGTGGGAACGCCGTTCTGCTTGATCATTCGTTGAAATTTCTCAGCACCGTGAAGAACGAGGCTGCACTGGTGAGCATCTAGAACGAGAGGGATCGGACGAGGGTGAGGTAGTCTCGCGCGCGCGAACGTACAGCATACGTATAGCATACGGGCACGTTCTACTCACGGAGCCGAAGTTCTCGATGGACAGATTGACCACACCGGCGGCGGTCATTTGCACGGGCCGCTGCGACCGCGCGATCACGAGGACCGACAGTCTGCCCACGCGACGTCGTATCCAGGCGGAGGACACGGAGTACACTGCCGTCGAGATCGCCGTGCTCTGCAAAGTCGATCGCAAATCGTTGTGTTCGATCTTTATTTCGCTTTTGTTTGCGCGCATGCGTACCTCCTGGATCAAGTGATCCGGCGCCCACTGGCAGATGAACAGCTGTCCTATGTTGGCCAGTATAAACGGCATGAACTTGTATCGGTCCGGGTCCGACTGTCGAAGAGCAGGGTGAAAAAGCGTTGAGCGGGAGTCGCGCGTTCGCTGCGAGAGCGAAAGGCAGCGGAGGCTGCTTTGCTCACCCCAACGATCTTGATGCCGACGAGGGAGATGACGTAGACGGTGCAGAGCAGCTGGACGAAGAACAGATCCCGCGTTATTCCGTCGATTCTGGAGCAGAAGCTGGAAGGGCGTGGGGTTTAGCCGGAGCATGGCAAACGGGCCGTCGAGGAGAGGGGGGGGGGGCGCATCTCACTGGAGGAGCCGCTGGTGCAGTCGCGCACACTCGACGAGCCGCGAGTGCGCGCGATCCTCGTCGTCGCGGTCGGTGATGCTGGCGATGCTGGAGATGCGCTGTCGGAGGGCGCGAAAGTAGCCCGCGCCGATCATGATGAGGAACGGCGCGGCCGCGTCTATGGTCGACACCACCACGCAGGCGTTCTGTATCACCACCACTTGCAGGGTGAAGGTGAGCTTGTAACCCGGCCAAAGGTTCGGCCCGTTCTCCGAGTACCAGCTGCCCGCCAAAATATCGCGCGGAAATGACAGCCGAGAGTGGAGCGGCCGCGTGGACGGACTTACTTGTAGGGCAGGTGGCGTGGCTGAGTGTCGTTCTGCCGTGACGCGCCGAGCACGAGGGCCACGGTGCTCGTGCAGAACAGCAGCAGGGTGAAGTGAATGCTGCCGAGCAGGAGCACGAACAGCAGGCGTATCCTCTGCGCGAAGAGCCGCACGGCGCGACGACCCTCCTCGTCGTACTCGGCCCAAATCGCCCGGCACTCGTCGATCAGGCTGGTGAACTCGCCGCGACGCCACAGCAGCATGTAGTAGCGCACGGTCACGCCGACCACCACCGCCGTCTCGCATATCGTGTCGATCGCCGGCACCCTTCGCTGATCTCAGACGCGCACGTTGTATTTGAACGAAATACGACGCCCGCTCTCCTTCTCTCTATTTACCCCGTTGACGACGTAAAACACGAACGAGGTCCAATAGACGGTGCTCCACGCGAGGCAGTAGGCGAGGTGCAGCCGGCTGCCCAACCAGTCGAAGCTGCGGGCCTCGAACGGCAGCAGCCCGATGATCCTCAAGAAAGGCCTGTACCAGAAGATCAGCTCGTCGAAGCTCGGACCGGTCACCTCCGCGCTCTCGCCCGACACTGTCGTGCAAACAACGGGCTCAATCTCCTCGCCCCGGGGGGCGTCGCTCGGTCTACTTACTTGCGGCTCGACTGGAGAGGCGCGACTGAGGAGCCGGCCTCTATGGTGCAGTCGTGCATGCCTCGCCGCGCTCGTGAATAATCAATCGCCCCTTGCTCATAATTCATCGCGCGAGAGTAGCCGCGTCCAGGCGAACCTAAACGCGCGTTTCACGACTCGATCGCGCTCGTTCGTTTTCGACGACTTTTTTTCGTCTTATTTTTTCCCCAATTTTTCGCGGTGAAAAATCATGGAAGAGAGACGCTGCAGTGCTCGCGGCCCGTGAATTATTCGCGAGACTCGCCAGGATCGGTTATCACGCGCGCAACAACGACGCGTGCACGATTTCTCGGCGATCGGAGCTCGCCAATGAATTTTCGGCGTTGGGATGGATACGACGACGGCAACCTTTCCAATGGTAGCTCGTGGAACTCAGTGGCACTAATCTGCTCGACGAATGGTGGCTTATACTTTGCGCGTTGCAAACTTTTGTCCCTGCTCTACTTGGTACGTTTATTGTAATAGACTGTAAACATTTCTTATAATATATTTAATCTAGATCGAGTTATTTATGCAGATAGCAGAAAAGCTCGTTTTCGGCGATTAGATCAAATTTATTGTTTCCTGATGCCGTTAATGTCCTATTCACTGCTTATTTAGTGATCAAGGTAGGGATGATCAACCGCTAACACTTCCAAAAAAAAAATAAAAAAGGAGATATGCTCAATTAAAAAATTTTGCTTCCACTCTGGGAACGCCTTGCCACGATTACTACGGGCAAGACAAACCACCGCATCAGCGCCGATCTGGTTGCCAATATAGGTGCTAGTCAAGACAATCAAAGGAGCTGTACCTACATTTTTTCAATATTATGTCGATTTTTCGCAATTTTGATAAATTTTGAATATTTAGCATTTTGAAATACGGTGGTAAATTTCATTTACTTACCTATTTCTTCAATTAATCAACATATCTACTAAATCTATAAACAAGTTATTTGTGTTACAGATCCTCTTATTAATTGGAAAATATGATACAAAAGCAACTGTATAAAACTCTATGAATAATATTTATAAATTTATCTTCTACAAAGTCCGGGCACGTACGTTCTTCTAATAGCTTATGGTATTTCTAATAATACATGAATTTATAAAAAGAAAATTAACCTTTTTGAAAGATATATTTAGAATGTTCAACATTTTCCTAAGAAAAAAAAATAAATTTAAGAGACTGACTTTTTAAATGATCTGTATTAATATGCATAGTCATACTATTAATTAATTCGATGGAGAAAAGAATATCGAAAAACTTTTTAATATAATTCATAGTGTTAATTATTTTCCAAAAAATTGTAATCATATATTATTTATATAGTGAATTGTTATTGTTATTAAAATTCAATATATGCTTGTTTTTTTAAATATTTTTACTATACTGATATTACAATGAACTATAGAATCACATTATCTTTCTTATCACATCATTTTAATATATTTTGTACTGTTTGCTTTCACAATGCTTATTTATAATAAATTATGTTGATGGTATCAATTCTAAAAAAAAGTAATTATTAAAATAAATGAAATTTAGCTTCAACATTGTTTTTGCCATATTCATGTTGACAATGAAAATCTAAAATCATATAGTAAAAAAATTTATTTATAGTCCTAAAAGTACTTCAATCTCAATATTTCTTTTTTTCTCTTAAACAATTAAAATAAACAATTTTTTCAAAACATATTTTTTTTTCATTTAAGAAACTGAGAATCTCTTTTAATTAATTTTTATAACAAATGCTTCATTATCTGTTACTGACTATATTACAAAATCTTTTTCTAATACATTTATAACAGTCATTATTTCAAATTGGATTCATCCATGATAAAGATGTCTTTTTAAACTAAATAATCCATTTATATATCGTAGAAATTTTCCTATACAAATCATAACAGTTTCATTGATGTTATACTTTATTTCCAATAAATGGACATTTTAATTCCAGCAATCCCATTGAAATTTTCTTATTGCAAATAATTTCATCTGGTGAATAGGTAAGCCGAGGATTACACATTGAAATGACTAAACCAGAAAACAATACAGGATAATTAGTAAAATTACTTATATATTCAATATTTCTATATTTTTTTTTATTTTCTTATTGTTATAAAAGTCTCCTATTGTATATAGTCTCCACTGCCTTCTACATTTTCCTTTTTTTTTCAGATACAGGTAAATTAATTGATGGCACTGCTGTAATCAATAAGTAATTGCGCTTAGTCATGAGTAATCTAAATGAAAATTATATGACAAATTGACTTACTTTAATATTTTATTAATGGAGAATTGTATCACTTACCAGGCAAGGGTATTAGAAAATTCATATCTATAAAATGCAGTGAGCATACTCTCATACTGGGAAGTTGATTTTATATTTTTATTTTTTAACCACTGCATCAATCTGTTGACTTTTTCGGTTTTTCGAAACAAATGCGTTTTTATCACTTGCCTGGTATTTACTTGAGGTAATTGATAAAAAGAAAAATTATGACTTTCATTTGATTTACTTAAACACCCTTTTACAAAACCATATACTCTTCTATCACGCGCAACACAAGCCACAGAAACAAGCGTACTTAACCTCAGCTTCTATTCAAATACCGTTTTTAAATTGTTTGCAACACTTAACTCATGTTCAACACATGTAATACACTCTCAAACATACTTATAGTTTTACAACCTCATTTATCGAACAATGTTTAAATTAAATATTTTAAATAAATAAAATACTGTAAATTTACATAATCTTTGTATGTATATTATATGGCACTTGGTTGCCGCCATCTTTGTTATCTATATATATGGAGTCTTATCCAATATAAGTGATTCTCCCGTGGCATTTAATTATAAGCATAATAGCCGACAATTCCCTTAGCAACTTTTATAAATGTATCTCTCACGCGATTCGGCATAGCGATTAACGAGAGGAGGCATCGATTTTTATTTTTGCTTAATTTGTTAGGTAGCGAAAACATGTTTGACGAAATTTCCGCAGATGAAAGTGCGAATGACGTTGATCAACGAGGCAACGCAGTGGGGAAAAAGGAGTCGAAAATGAAGAGCGAAAATTAGTTGGAAAAGAGAGAAGCGGATTCAAAAGGTTGGATCGATGCGCGCGACAGCGGCCCGCTCGAGCCGACTGCGATCAATAAGTAGCAGAAGCCCTGCCTTGCCGGACAGTCGCGCCCCGCACCTTGGCCCTGTCCCATGCCATCTCTTTGGCCGAGCGATCATCGCGCGACTCCGTGCCATCCCGAGGCCAGGTGAGTTAGCTGTTGATAGAGGGAAGCGCGTTGCTGCAGCAAGCGGCCGGAGCCCAATAAAAATAAATCGACGCAGGTACGGCGCTAGCTCGGCCCCGAGCGTGTGATCCGAGGCAAGCAAGCGGCAAGAGGCAGCAGGAGAGCACAGGACAGTGGCCGAATGGCATCGATAGAGGAGAGCTGGAACGAGGCGACGGACGGCCTGGACGCCGGCGCCCGCGAGTCCTGGCTGTCTCGGCTCCAGGAGACCTACTCCGAGGAGAGGCGCACCTACCACAACCTGGCCACCCTGCGCGAGAAGCTGCGCCACTACGCCGACATCAAGGACTGCCTGAAGAGCCCCAAGGCCGTGCTGCTGGCACTCTTCTTTCAGAAGTAAGCTTGCTCTTGCTACGTCGCCTGCACTCCTCTCGGAGAGCGTTCGCGCAGCTATCGACGACGATCGTTTCAGCTTCGAGTACGACCCGAAGGCGATGAACGAGGAGAACCGGAACCTGGAGCACTTTAACGCCTTCGCCGAGGAGGCGGGACTGCCGGCCGTAAGTGCAGCGCCAATGTCGAAGCGCCTCGTCGAAGGCAATAATTAAGCCCGCTCGTGATTGCACTGACGAAGGACTCGCAGCTGGCGACGCAGACGCGGGAGCTGCTGGTCGCCGCGTCGACCCACAGCACCGAGGCGCACAAGGTCGGCGGGGCTTTCGGCGGCGAGGACGCCCACTACCTGCTGGACCTCGACATGCTCGGGCTGGCCGGCGAGGCCCACGAGTACGCCGATTACAGGTGCAAGATTCGCGGCGAGTACTCGTTCCTCAGCGAGCCCATGTACACCGCGCTCAGGCTCAAGGTAACGTCGGCGCGCGACGCCGCGCCGAAGACGAGGACTCACGGCTCGCTCGCTCGCCGTTCCAGGTGCTGCAGAACTTCCTGCAGATCCCCAACATCTTCGCGACCAAGGAGTTCCGCGACAAGTACGAGGAGCAGGCGAGGGAGAACATCGAATCCGAAATAGAGCTGCTGTCGTAGAGGGATGCGCGGACGTGGGCGTGGCGGACGAGGCGGAGGATAGACGGATTGCGCGTGCTCGCGGCCGGGCGATTCAAGGTTCGCCCTGTAGGACGTCTCAAGCGGGTATCGGCTCAACGCGCCGTGTGGATTATTTTCAGTTGTACGGGCATCGCAGCGTTCTATTTTTACGAATCAATACATTTGTCGGGCGGGTGTACTTCAACGGTTCCTTCGATTATATACGCGTATTGCGCTTCGCGCTGCATCGTTTTATTATTGCCGTGCGCCTGGGCTAACGACGACACGATCAGACTGACGTTAATTGCAACGCGGGCCAATCGCGAGTCTAAATAAACAACAAACAAATGAAACATTTTTACGCATTTTACCGACGAGAGGTTTGCGTCGTTTATTGCGCGCCACTTTTCTTTACTGCTGCGAGATGTTTCTATCAAACGGTCGTTCGGCCTTTACGTTGTTGCGAACGATTAACTGCAACAAACAAACAAGATTATCAACACACAGCAGGCTTGTGAATTGTGTGCGAATGAGAAAAAAGAGAGAGAGAGAGAAGAATAAGAAAGCGAAGAAACTGTAGTCTATTTTATCCTTGCGAATACATTATTATCTAACTCTGTCGTTAAGTTTGGCTAACGAAATAAAAGTTGTTGTTTGTCTCACACAAAAATACGAGTGATGATACGCTTTTACGAAAAGAAAGAAAAAATAAAAGTATGTTACTGTGTAGATTTTATCTGACGCATAAAATAACATGGATGTCGAAATAAATAAATTGTGTTACGAATAAGACGGGTTTATTGACTTGTACATCGCCTGGAAAAATCACGCTTCTAATCCAAACTAATTTTTAGCACTTTCAGGGCTGTCCAACCGATCGCAATTCGTTAATCTACTTTGCAGTAACAAGTGCCTATCTTTTTGGCTTTTCTCCTGGCTCTTCGGGGCCTCTTCAGCGCCTTCTCCAGTGCAGCTCTTTTCTCTTCGAACAACTCTGTGGAAAACGTAAAGCTTCAGTATGACGGATAGCATGCCGATCGTTCTCTCGACTTGAGAATATTAACGACCCCTCAATTTGCGCTGACTGTCGTCCAATTTCTTCTGGTACTCTCGAAGGAACTCGCTTTTCGATTGCTCGACGCACTCCCTCACGCGCAGCTCGTTCTCGATGGCTTCCTCCTGCGACGTCTTCTTCTTGTCGAACCTGAGCGAAAGCAGCAAACGAGTCGAGCGCTAGGCCTCGAAAGTCGTCGCCGAAAGTACTACCTTTCCAGAGCCACCTCGATTTTCTTCCTGCGCTTGTTCCCCTCCATCTGCTCCATCCGCTTTCGGAACTGCCGATCGCGCTCGTTCCACTCCCTGAAGCTGTTCAGTATCCGCTGCTGCTCCAGTTTGGCCATCAGGAAGCGCCTCTGCTTGATGCGGTTCATCTGCACCTTCAGCCGGACGATCTTATTGCGCGTCTCCTGGCGCTGCTTCTCCCACAACTCGGCCAGCCTGGCGCCGTCCGCCCTGTCCTTGTCGAATATCCGGCGAATCTTGGCCGCTCGCTTGGCCTCCAGCTCGCCCAGCCTCGCCTGTCTGACTTCCTGCTTCTTCAGCCTTGATGCAAAAAGATGGAGGGGGAAGGGGGAGATAAAGCAGACCGATCGGCCGACGGCGCGCGTTGCTACTTCTCGTTGTTCTTCAGGGCTTGGCCGTCAGCGATGTCGAGCACGAGCTTCTCCTTCAGCAGCTCGTCCCTCTCGACCAGCTCCCTCTTCATCGCCTTGCCGTGCATTATTCTCAGGTAATTGCGGTACGTGTTGTACTCCCAGAGATTGCACTTGACGTCCAAGCCCGGCGTTATTATCTCCGTCTGTACGAATAGGCGGGCGAGTATCGCAGCGCGTGGATTTGGTCGATTTATTGAACGAATGTGCTATTCGAATGGATTTTCAACGAGAGCGCACACGTCGACGATCGCAATTGTGAGTTTGCCGCGGGCTGGCTTTCCCGAGAGAGCGAGCGGCTCGAACCTTGATCAGAAACTCGCGAAGCCGATGCGACTGCAGGAAGAACCTCGCCAGGTGCTCGTCATGCAGACCCTCGTAAGGGATGTTGACCTCTCGTGAATAAGGATCGCTGCAGTCGACGAAGCGCTTTCTATCGACGTACTCGATCCAGAGTCTCTCGCCGAGCTTCCTCCTCGAGAGCAGTGCGTCGGTGACGTGGGGCATCACCGGGATCTTCGCCTCGAGCGGCAATCGACTCCATCTCGGCAAGCCGGAATCGAGCGCTGCCACTTTCGGCTCCGGCACGCATTTTCGCAGGTTTTCAAGGTACCTACATGCGGACGTTCGACGTGATTTTTCCGTGAATCGAGTTCGCAAGAAGTTGCGCGATCGAGTTACAAAAGCAGAACGGCCTACGGTGATTTTTTGACGTTGAGCACACCGATCGCCGTGGACTTGTCGGTACAGGACATTATAACCAAGAATTTTGACGTTCGACGTGTCGTGAAGTACGGTTAGAGTGAAGTGTTATTTGCTGTGTGATAAGTTTCGACGACGCAGTTTCTGTTGACGATCAACTTGTTCCTGTGGAGGTAGCAGTGGAAACATTTTTTTCGCAAAGTACTTGGTGATCTAAATCTGCGTTATCACATTCACTGCATTTATCAACATTTTTTATTTTGTAGTTAATCACGAATACCGATAAAGATGGACCTGGAAAGAGAATTGATTCGAAAAAAGTTGCTGGATCCAGATTTAATGAAGTTGATTAAGAAAACTAGCAGTTTCAGTATTCATAAAAGTGTTGAAATTTCTGAAAAAGCCAGACAGGCTGGAAATTTGCTATATGTCCAAAAGGAGCATACTAGAGAAATGCATGAGACAAACCTTAACTGCTTTTCAATGAGTATTGCCTTTGCTCCGACAGCATCCGAAGAGTTGGCACTTGGATATGGCAATCGGTCAGCTTTACTTTTGCATTTAAAAAATTTTCAAGGTAGCATTTTAGACATCGACAGAGCTTTATCCATTTCCAAAAGCAAATCTTTGAAAGTTAAGTTACTTTGTCGCAAAGTTGAATGTTTAACTGCTCTAAATTTATCTGAAAGTTCTACTGTATTTAAAAAAGCTGTTGAGTACTTCAATAAGATAGATGAAAAAGATATTGAAAATAAAAGTCATCTACACACTGTGCTTACCAAAACAAAACTTGTCTTAGATTCGAAGAATGTGATTTTAAAATATAATTTAAATAGAAGACTAAAACTTCAAATTTCACAAAAACAATCTGGTGACTTCAATTCAGTAGATGTAAGGAATTCAAATAAATATGGTAGACACTTGATTGCTACTCGACACATCAAACCTGGAGAGATATTTTACAAAGAAAAACCTTTTGTAGTTTGTCCTAATGGTGTAAAATTATACATTTATTGTAGTCATTGTTTGACTATAGCATGGAATGGAATTCCTTGTAAATATTGCAATTGGTGCATATTTTGCTCATCCAAATGTAGAAAAGAAGCTTGGATTAAATATCATCATGTTGAATGCTCCATCATCACTCATATGATAGAATTAAATAGAAACTATTCCCAAAACTTTCAAATGAGCCTGAGAGCTGTGGTCATGGGGTTACAAGAGTATGGAAATATTGATAAACTGAAAGCTGAAATAGAAGTAATGAATTCATGCAAAGGTAAATATACTCTTTCTGTAAATTACAACTTTATGTATAAATTGATTTGAATAAAAATAACATTTGAATTTTTTTTCCAGATTACCACATACAGCATTTATTAAGTGATGAAAAATGTCAAAGTAGCAAGTTCTGTAGTATTTTTAACTTATCAAGCTGTATCAAAGATAAACACTTTGAGATAAATATTTGTAATGCAGCAATAGCTTTATCTTATGCAGCTAAATACACAACACTCTTTGGGAGAAATGTGCTAGAAAGTGACGCTTGCAATAGTATAGCTGATAATGAAGAAGTTTTATTTAGTGGGTGTTTGTTATTGAAATTTGTTCAGATATGTAATAAACATGCTTATAGTGTGAGTATCTTAAATATTATTTAAAATTATTACATTTATAATTAAAATTAATTTTTAAATGTGTTAAATATTGTTTTTGTAGTTTTCTACTTCAATGAAAATGTGCAAACATGCAGATGAAACAGTTAAATGTTTGAAAAAATATTGCAAAGATAAGTTGACTTACTTAGCTCCTATCAGTAGTTTGACTAATAATAGTTGCATTCCCAACATGAGAAGGTGTTTTACAAAGGACCAAAAAATTATTTTTTATGCTTTGGAATCTATTGCTAAAAATGCTCAAGTATGAAAATATTATAACCATATTGAAGATAATATAATAATTTATACTCTTTTATTTCTAACGTAATGCTTCATGTAATTGTAGATTTTTGAGAGCTACATATGCAGTTTTTATGAAACTCCAAAATTAATTGACAGAAAAGCTATTATCAGTAAGTATTTTGATTATAATTGTGACTGTGCAGCTTGTGTCCAAAATTGGCCATCTTTATTAACTTCAATAAAAACAGAAGAGGTAAATCAGTGAATTTCCAATATGATATAAATATTAAAAATATATTCAATACAATATTTTTCCACTATTAAATTTACAGGTTACATTTGTGTCTCCTTTGATTGATTTGAGAGTTAGTTTTCTCGAGGGACAGCTTGCAGAGGAATATAAGGAACCAGTGAAGCAAGCTACTGCACAAGACACCATGTGTGATGAAAAAACAATAACAGAATTGAGAAAAGGAATTGAAAAATCATGTGCACTTCTGGCTCAACCAAGTAACATTAGATGTACATTATTATTTTCCATGAGGAGAGTTTTTGATAAAATGTATGGACATGACTCTAACATTTTCTTGTGCTAATATTTAAACTTATAGCTATACTGCTTTTTTACATATTCAAAAATAATTTGTAATTGTAGAAAGAGATCAGTGTCAAAGTACTTTTTTTATTTGGTATGATCTGAATTTTTTTAACATACTCTTAATTAATTTTCTGACATAAAATGTTTTGAATAGAAATTTTTCGTTAATTTTGTGATTTTAGGTGTACGACTACAATATGTAATTGTTTTTATAATTGTTAAAATGAATCAACATAAAAGTACGTTTTTTATATAGTATGATCTGAAATTTGATTGTATTTAGTTATGTATTACTTTTAATTTGGAAAATAATTTTTTTCGATAGCAAACATTTAATCATTTCAATGCAAACACATTTCAAAAAAGTATTATTAATTCTATACTATTATTATTGTATTATTCGGTTTTAACTTATATATAAGACTTTCATTTGAAATTAGCTGTATTTCAAAAGCTGTATTTGATTTGAATAAATAAGTTTCAATCTAATTGCATTGCCTAATTTTTATCGGTTAAATGATTGATAAAAATCCTTTACATTTAAAAACAGCTACGCAAGAAGTACAAAAATTTGATTCACGATCGTGCCTCCTTGCTAATCTCGCAAATGGCAATCTTACAGGCAGTCTCACTCACGATTCCATGCTGTTCCCTATACCATTTCGTCGTCGCCTGTCGTTAAGAGCGGATATCGTCTAGCATTTGCAAGATTGTTACTTGCCATTGACATTGGTAAGTTTTTGTGTATTTTATTTATGCAATTAACGATTCTCGTAAGGTCAAAACGACGTTAAAACATAAAGTAAATTACAACCAATTAATTTTGCATAACAATCGAGCTTTACGATCGAGCATTCGAAGAACAGTGCCTTGCTCGCCATACTATTGCCGGTAAGGCTGATAAACTTTGCTGGCCAGAAATGCGTGTTTAGTAAACTTTGCGCCAGTGTGCCTATGCCCACAATGAAGCGAATCGCATTTACGCTTCGATAACTTTGATTGAATCTTTAGTAAACGTGCTTGCTCTAGTTATTTCTTTCTCAATAAATATGTAATTTGAAGAAGTTAAGTATTATTATTCAAAATCCATTAAAGTTTATTTAAACTTGCGTCAAAAATTATAGTTGATTTTTGCCATATAAGTGTTATGTGTATGCGCTAAATTCGTCACCATTATCATGGGTAAATGAAATCTGGTTGATAAGATTAACAAACAGCAAATAGTAACTTTTTTTCGTTTTTCTTATCTAAAAGAAAAAAGTTTTGAAAGTTTAATGGGAAAGACGAATTACGGGTAGATATGAAAAATATTTGAATTTTCTTTTTCAGAAAAATGACAGCATACAAATTTACGTACTTCAATGCCAAGGCCCTTGGCGAATCTATCAGGATGCTTTTCCACTACGGAGGCGTCGAATTCGTCGATGATCGCGTTAATTTTGAAGATTGGCCTAAAATCAAGCCATGTGATTTATCAATAATTATTTTAAGAAGCCTTAATTTTGTGATTAATTTAATATTAATTTGATATTTCAGCCACTCCATTTGGGCAGCTTCCTGTGCTCGAAGTAGACGGCAAAAAAGTTGTTCAGTCCTCGGCAATCGCAAGATATCTGGCTAAAAAGTTTGGCCTTGCTGGCAAAGACGACTGGGAGGCGCTGCAAATCGATTCTACCGTCGAAACCATCCACGACCTTCGTACAAGTAAGGCTCTGAAGAAAAACGTACGTGCCTTTCAAAATTAAAACAAAAAAATTTGTTTTCCCTAGAAATCGCTGCCCACTACTACGAGAACAACGCGGAGTCGAAGGCTGAGAAGTTGAAGATAGCCAAAGAAATGGTTCCCTTTTACGTGAACAAACTCGATGAGCAGGTGAAAAAGAACGGTGGTTACTTTGTTGGCGGCAAGCTCAGCTGGGCCGAATTCGTGTTCGTTGGTCTTCTGGAGTATCTGAATTACACACAGGGTTGCGATATCATTGCTAAGGCGGAAAATCTGAAGGCGTTAAGAGATACGGTCCTGGCGATACCTTCTATCAAGACTTGGGTGGCTAAGCGTCCCAAAACTGAGTTTTAATTTGTAATCAAAGTCCATCATTCCGTAAAGTTTTCTTTTATTTTGCTTTTGGCATTTTATGAAATGATGAAACGCATTGTACTTTCATGAATATAATCCTTATAAAAAAATCATTGCATTAAACAAATGTTGACAAACAAAATAATTGAAGTGTAACATAATTATTTCACAAATTTTCGCGCGCAACAGAATTTAAATCGGTAGCTAAGTTATAGGCTGTTCTCTTTTCTATAAAGCTGTTGTGTCATAGACATGAAAAGTTATCTAGATTGCGATCTCGCATGTACAGAATATATAAAGATTCAACAGTATGTACCTTATCTATATTTTTAGTGTTTGACAATGACACAGGTGGCAAATGAAACAAGACTCAACAGTGTACAGTATCAACACGTCTATAAATATTGTTTTTGAATAAACGAACAATATTCATTTGAATATCGCAAGTAGATTTTTAATATTGTAATTGTTAACTTGAAAGCCTTGCGAAATATAATGCATAGAACTTGTAATTCTTTATGCTTTTAATATCACCATACATAATATGGAAGATAAGCCAGAAGGTAAACAATGTAACAGGTTATAACTATCATAGCTAATTTGTTTTTAATTAAAAAAATGATTAACATTGTATATTTTACAGAAGTGATATCCACACAAAAAAAATTACAATCATCGCATGACCCTGGATGGAATGATCCACCAAGCTGGGCATTTACTCCATCCCCAACAGCTACCAGTGGAACACCAACAAAAAGACTATTAAATAAAAGAGTGGCATTTCCTTTAAACTCTAAGCCAGAAACCGCAAGCACATTGTTACATCAAACTATACCACCTGTAGGCTTACCACCACCAACTAACATTGGTAGTTTGACAACAGCACCTCATAAGCCTTTTGTGGCACCTACCAATGCTCAAATTGGAGATTCAACCTCAAATTGGGAGATGAGTAAAGAAGATGCTTTGAAGAATACTCTAGAGAATCTACGCTGCCTGACTAAAGAGCTGGAGGCAAGTAAAACTGAAGAAATTGAAAGGAGATTAGAAAGGATGGAATCAATGTGGAATGAAGATAAGCTCAATAATGATGTGCACAAAAAAGTATTAGAAATATCTCAAGGTATGTTTAATAATGCTGCTCTTTGTCCATTGTTTGTTTGGATTAGCTTTGATGATTATACATATTTGCAGCTTTAAAGGACAACGATGCAGAGAAAGCCGATCAACTGCATGTCTCTCTTATGATGAATAATGCTTCAATGTGTAGTTCCTGGATACCCGGCTTGAGACAATTAATAACAGAATTGAAAAGTATGGTGAAGTAACGTGATATGATTGTAGAAAATTATAATTTTTGTAAAAACGAATTTAATTTATGTAACTATTTTGTGATTAATACGCTGTTATCGAGTGAATAGGGACTAAATAACAAAATACTATTTATTTGAATAGAAAAATCTGTCCATTAATGTAACCGTAGCATATCTGTTGTCGATAAACGTTAAGTTGTCGCGGCATAAACCATGCCCGTGGTTAGTAAAAAGCCTCGCGTAGGGACTGACTTTATCACACTTCCGATGATCGCCAGCAGGTGGAGGCGTGCGTTCAACGGCTCATCGTGGAATCTCGATGGAAAAGCTTATCTTTTCTAGAGCGTGAACGTGTTCCCGGCAAGGATGAGGTTTGTTTTTCTCTCTCTCTCTTTCTCTTTCATTAAAAAAGAGGAAATATTAACGTGCGATAAGCATGTTTCTGGCCGCTTTGAACTGCCTTCCACGAAAAATTAATTTTTTCTCCCTCTCGGCTTCTCTCCTCCCATGGCCTCTCAACTTTTCTCTTTAATCTTTTTAATGACGTTTCCTTTTTTTCTTATACTTTAATTCACCGAATAAAAAACAGAAAAAGGAAAAAAAGCAATGTTTGCGAAGAAAGAGACTTTCTTTTTTTCGTCGTACATTGAAGTGTCCCATGGGAATATTGGCTGCGCTCTCTCTCTCGCTCTCTCTTTCTCGAGCAAAGGCGATTATTCGCAATGCGATTGCAGCCAGTCAATATTATCCATTAGCGTTCGCCTCGATGTTTTTCAAATCGAGGACGTGCAAGGCTTAAGTAGACGCTGGCGCTGCCGAGGGACAAGGCGGAATATGTCAGGCAGGGGCTTTAGAGCTTTGCTGCTTTTTTTTTTCAAGAAAATAAAAAAAATGGAAGCAAGATGGTTTTGCATCGAGCGTCAGTAAAAAGATCCGATAAAAGTCAACGAGTACTGTCGTACAATCGCGAGGTACAGATGTAGAGGCTGGGGGGCTAACTTATGGCCCTGCACACAATTCGCGTGCGACCGATAATATCGCTCACCGTCAACTTTATTGGACGACGGCGAAAAGCTGCAATGCTCGCCGTGTATCGGAAATTCCAGCGGCACCTTGTAACTTTCCGAGAAACGAGCGAATTAAGTTGAGCCGTCGGAGATGGAAGAAACGGCTCATTTGGTCGACAACGGATAACGATAAGAATCTTGGTTCCAGCACGCGAAGAAGGAGAGAACAGACAAATAAGAAAAAGTCCAACGGAGCCATTCCCCGCGCTAATCAATGCAGCGAGGCAGCGATTCAGCTGTCGTGCAGAAGGGAAAAGCAGTAGGAAGGATAGTCGGCGCGTACGTGCAGTCCCCGAGAAGCGATCGTGCGAGATAGAGAGAGAGAGAGAGAGAGAGAGAGAGAGAGAGAGAGAGAGAGAGAGAGAGAGAGAGAGGAGCAGAAAAAAGGCATCAACGATGAAAATCTGCCCCCGGTGCGTGGGGCAGAAGTGGAGCTTGGCTGGATAGTAGCAACAGGCACCGAGCGAGCGAGCTACTAGCCCATAGACCCAGTGAACGAGCGGAGCTTGCACGTGGGGGGAGTGCTGTTGCTCTGTTGCTCTGGCCGATATTGATCCGCGTGGGGTAGAGAGAAGAGAGAGAGAGAGAGAGAGAGAGAGAGAGCGCAAGAGAGGCTGGTATAGGTCCGGCACGGCAGCGCGAGGCGGAGCGACGCGAGCCTGGGAGCCTGGGCATGTGAGAGAGAGAGAGCAGGCTGGTGGGGGTGCTGCTGCTACCCTGGCGCTGCTGGCGGCGGGTGTCATAATGGAATGAGCGAGAGAGGGAGTGCACGAGGAGGCTGTGAGTCAGTCCCGTGGCCGCTGCCGCACCGGCTGAGGCACTGTGCGCATCTCTCTCTTTCTGTCTGTCTGTCTGCGTGTGGTTCGACCACCGAAACAACGCTCCTTTCTTTCTCTCCCTCTCTCTCTCTCGCTTTCTTTCTCACTCGCTCTCTCGCGTTTTCCATTCCTTATTTCTTCTGCTCTTTCCCCGATGTGCGCTAAGAACGGGCCGCGTGCAACAGTCGACTCGGCGCGAGCCGCGGTACCCGAGCTGCTGCCACCAGGTTAGTATAAGTATTCCCTCCTGTTGCGTTTGCGTTGCTACTGCTGCCACCGTTACTGGCTTGCTCGCGGCCCGTTATCAACAAGTACCCCCCTCCCCCCTCTAGCCTTCTCTTTTGGTCGACCGAATGACTTTGTCGCTTGGTCAGAGCTGGTGTCCAGCCGACGCGAGGAGCGGCGAATGTCCGCTAGCCAGGTTTACGCCCCTTGTGGTGTCCGATCGCGCTGGTGACCCCCATGGTAGCGGCGGCAGCGAAGCGACCGGAGAGAGCGAGCGCGCGCAGCGCGAGGAACGAGCAATCGATTGATCCGACGGCGTGTGCGTGTGCCGCGCGGCTGCTGTGGTTGCAGGAGGCGGCAGCGGCTGAGCGGCGGCGGCGGCGGCAGCGGCGGCGAAGCAACAATCACCGGAGCGCCGGGGGCCACGTCAGTGCGCGGGCGCGCGCTCGACACCCACAGTAAGCTGCAACGACGACGACTGCGAGGAAGAGGAGCTGGCGGCGCGCAGGACGAGAGCTGGCTGCGAGCGGGATGCGTCTCTGTCGCGGTCGCTTCGCCCTTGTCGCTGAGCAGCCTTGAGTGAGAAGCCAGTGCGCGACCAGGAGCTAACGAACGAATCGAGCGACCGACGAGCGAACCTTGTGAGATGACGGCCAAATCGGGAGGCTGCTAATCGACGTCTCTTCTCTCTCTCTCTCTCTCTCTCTCTCTCTCTCTCTCTCTCCTCTGTCTGTCCTGTCCTCTTTATCTTTCTCTCTCTCTCCTTCTCTCTATCTCTCTCTTTTTCTCTCGCTCTGTCTTTCCTATCATCGCGGCGACGGAAGTCGCAGGAGTCCGAGAGATATCCATCGGTAGAGAGAGATATACTCGTTCTATGAGCAGCTCGATGCTCAGTAGTGGCAAGCGCGAGTGCAGCAGCAGCGGCAAGCAGGACGTGGTGGTGGCGACGACGCGAGAAAGTAGTGAGTGAGAGCGTACACAAGGATGCGGCGAGCCACAGTCAGAAGGGCTCGATCCACGACTGCTGCATCGATATTCCACGCAGGACGCACGACAGTCTGGCCTGGCCACGCCAATCTGCAAACATGCTTCGTTGCCGCTGCTGCCTACGCGGCTCTACTTCTCGTCGTGCTGCCCCAAGGTGAGTACGAAGCGATCGCGAATAATCCATCAACCATCGGGATAATCCGGTCACTCGTTAAAACCGACCTGAAATCCCCCCCCCCCCCCTCCTGCCCCCACACACATCAATGTCGCGCGCGCGTTATTATTATTAGTCGAGCCAAAGTCGACACGTGCGAGATGGGAGGCGCGCTCGCTCACGTCGCGCCGACATGATTAGCCAGCGCGACTATCGAAACGAGCGACGGATACGTCCATTTGTACATTTTTTCTTTTAACTTTTTTTATTTTATGGCCGCGCGCCCATCGGTTCCACCTCATTGATTTCTCGAGCGCGAGTTTCGGCTGGACGCACGGGCCGTTCGCTCCGACGCGATTCGAACAGCGACCTGGCGTCGTTTATTGCCGAGATCGATTGCAGTCGCGCGCGGTTTTTCTCTCTCTCTCTCTCTCTCTCTCTTCGAATTAGGATGTGCCGACGGGACGCGCGGGTTCGTTGATCTGCGCTGCGCACGACTGGATATTCGGCGACGCGACGATTGTGATTGAATTACGAAGCTGACGACACAGCTTTGCTGCATGCGTGAAAGGGGGAGGGGGAGAGAGAAAAGCGGCTTTCGGTCAATACTCAAGGGCAGCGGGGAGATGCACGGGAGAAGATTTGCCTCGAGAAATCGCCAAAAATAGCGCGACGCCAGTTTTGAGTGGCAGCCTCCCGCCCACCACTTCGATCCCTACGTAACTTGGAGCGCTAAGCTCTGCGCCTCGCCGACTCGGACCAGAAGAGTTTTCGTTCGCAGCTTGCTTTCCATCTCGACCCCTTGTTTTCCAGAAAAGCGCGAAAAGCCACGCCGAAGAGAAGAAGAAACGACACAGCAGCGAACGAAAGAGGCTCGGAAGAAGTTGGCCTCATCGGAGCTGCTCTCTTTCTCTCTTTCTCTTTCTCTCTGTCGGCTGGTTCGCAATAAAGGCCAGGAATATTGCGCGTCAGTTAGCGCCTCGATTGCGGACCGCCGCGCGGATGTAAACGAGCTTACAAGCCTTATAACCAAAGCGAGCCTCCGGCTGCTCTGACTCGGTTGCCCCGGCGCACCGAAATTGCTCTCTTTCTCCTGCCCCCGCAAAACAATCGTCGAGCCCGAGCTCCGGTTGTGGTTTTTTGTTTTTCTTTTTTTTTTCTTTGCCTGTGTTTTGCCTGTTCGCTCGGTATTTGACGCGGGCCAATCCCGTGATTCCACCGAGCTGACTTCCAGCTGTGGATTCCAGCTTCGGATCGCGTAATTATTTATATGGCCGAGAGATTTCCGCGTGGCGACGGTATTGAACCGCCGACCGGCGATCGCGCGCTCGCGCCGATCCGCGAGCGGACCGCGAGTGGACCGCCGTGGCTGTCTCGCTCGCTTGGCTGCGAGAGCCGAGGGGAGATTTTTCCAGCTTAGTAGGCCGATCACAGCGTCGGCGCCGCGCGCGCGCTTATAAATATAGCCGCGCGCGTCGCCTGTGCAGCGACGCTCACGCACTTGGACTAACCTTCTAGGCCTTTATAAATAAAACCGTCGGGCGTGCGGCGACTGATAACGGCGCGATGCGCAATCGATAAGCTCGCAGTTTCGCGCTTTTCGACTGTGGCTGCCGCCTGCCGCTCGCAGACTTAGATATTGAGTATCGGCTAACCAAGTAGAGCATGAAATTTCAGATATTTCAGCAATTAAATTCATTGCTGTTTTGTCGCGGGCGCGCGCCTGCTCTAGATGAGCTCGTGAAACTTAACCTCCGCGGAGCCGCTTTCCATTCCGCAGCGGCCGTACAAAGGCCGGCCAGTTTAATTTATTTAATTGTTCGAACATGGCGAGCCGCCCGTGCGCGCGTTAATTCATCGGACCAAAGTTAGCTGCCGGACGCTGCGCAAACATTTGGCGTCCGCGTCAAGGGGGCTTTCCAGAATTTCACTGCGGCGCGCTTCGGTAACGGGCCGCCCTGTCCTCCGAGTTTCTTCTTGGCGCGAGCGAGCCGCGATCGAACGAAAGACGAAGCACCCGCACTGGGCCAAGTGGCTTCGATGACGAGTGCGCCGTCCGCGCTCGCCAGCTGCTGAGTCGGCGAGGGTTTCCAATTTCTCGCCGCTTCGCGCCGCGGGACCGCGCCAACGGAGACAAAGAAGAAAACGGGGAAAATGGTCGGCGAGCGAAGGCGAGAGGCCGCGGCTGTCCGCGATCCTCACGGACGACCCGACGAAGCGGCGCTTATTTGCCCGGCAAACACGCCGCGCTCCCCGTGGAACATCCTCGTCGATCTCATTTCGGCGATGTCGTTCCTGCTCTCTGCTTTCTCTTTTCTGCCTCTCTCCCCTTTTTCGCGAGTTTCAAAGAGCCGCTCGATTGCGCTCTCAGAACGAACTGGAGACGCGCGTCGAGGGTGTGCGATTACTTTCCACTCTCGTCACCCTCGCGAGCACAACGCTCTCGTGCCGTGAAACGGGCGCGCCGACGCTCGATTGGCCGCCAACGTTTAATCCGCGCTGTACCCTTCATTTATACGAAGCTGCATTCCGCTAGACGGCCGCGGTCATTAATTTTGTGGCTCGTAATTCTGGATGATAATGTACCTCGTAAAAAGTCGTATTTACCGAGACATAATTTTCGTGATTCTGTTCTTCGGCGGGGGTCAAAGTTTTTCTTCTTGCGGGATAGATGAAAATGTAGGCAGGAAGCAGAGTCAAGAGTCGAACTTCACAAGTCAATATTTTTCTTGGCGTTTCCGCTTGCAATCTTATTAGGCACCGAGTGAAAAATCTCACCTTGGTAAACGTGTTTACCGAGAGCATTCTCGTAGAACCAACTGGAACAACAACAAACTGCTTAGACACGAGGAAGGCCGTAAAGGAAAGAGCGGCTCGTAACTCTTCGCGAGGAATATCCGCGGACAAGAGTGTATTTACCGTAACTTTTGCAAGTGTTATCGGGGCAACAAAATGAATTTACCTTGTACAAGCCACGCCGCGGAATGAAATGCGGAAAATAAAGGCGTCGCGACGAACATAGCGAGCCGCGAAAAGAATGACGACGGACACGGAAGGTCGCGTGGTAATGTGAGTCGTAGATCGAATTAGCCGAGCTTGGGCGAATCAATTGAACGAGTCGCTCGAAAAATCGAGAGAGCCAGGCCGTGTGGTTTTTCCGCGGGCATCGGGGAAGTTGCGCGCAGCGAAAACGTTGTTACGCGTTTAGCTTTGTTTCGGCGGCTGGCCGGGAGAAAACACGCGGTGAAAACTTTCCACCGGGACGTCGGCTCCGAGTCGATCCGGATGGGTACGCGGCGCCACGGGGCAGGATGCGAGGGCATTCGACGGGGGCGCGTTCGCGAGCAAACCGGTGCCTGTCTCGCCGGCGAGTCGAGCGGCGAAGATCGAAGAAGCTCGAGTCTTGCGTTTCCGTGAACAAGTGCAGTAAAAAACTGCCGTTACGAGAGCGAGAACCTGCGGTTGCATATTAGGGTCAATCTCTCTCTCTCTCTCTCTCTCTCTCTCTCTCTCTCTCTCGTTTCGTTCTCGGTCGAGCCAATATTTGACCTTTCGAGTACAAACATACGCGGAAATTCGCAACACCAATATTGCCTGAAATTTCCGGAGCAAACACACGCGCGCTCGTAAGGAGAGGGTTGTCGGCCGAGCGCGCGGCGCTACACTTTCGAGCCCTCCACGTCGCTCGTGTCTGACGGACAATTCGGTAATCGAGCGCGTCGCCTTGCAGCGTCGCCCGTCGGAATTGATAACCGACGAACGGTCTCTTTCGAGTTGCCTAATCGACGGCGCATCGCCGGTCCGCGAAAGCGATCTCTTCGACGGGGGACCACCGAGGCGCAGGCGAAAGGTAACCGTCGCAGCGAGCAACGTTTCGCTAAACCGAGCGAAAAGAGGGAGCTGCCACTTGGCTGCCCCTCCCCCGGCCGTCGGCAAAGACGCTCGAGCGTAATTAAACTCGGCGATTCTAAATACGTATTTTGTTTCTTGGAAGGCGAGCGAGCGAGACTGGCCGGGTGAAAATCGCGGAAAGCTAATTTCCAGCGCTCCGGGCCGTGCCGTGAAAAATTCATACGCGCGTAACGAGCATTTTAGGCTCGACCTCGAAACGAAAAGACGAAGAAGAAGTGGTCCTTAGCAACACACGCTGCCGTTGGCTTTTGTGCTGCCAAGAAAACGAAGCGCCGCGCGCCGCGCGCCGCGCGCCCCGCTCCACCCGCCGGCCAAATTAGGTCCGCGGGCGTTCTCTAATTACCCCTCAGACGCGGGGCATCATCTCGCGCTCGCGAGCACGGGTCGAGGCCGCCGCCGAGCCAGCCGAGGAGCGGCTCTCTTTCTCTCGCGTACGCCACAGGTGTGCCTTTCCTTCGAATCGCGGAATTGGGTCGCGAGCGGGGAGAGAAAAAGAGATCGCGCGGCCGGACAACACAATCGACGATTGTTCGCCGCGCGCGTGCTGCCCGCGCCCGCCTGCTTGTACGCGCTCCCCCGCCCCCATTCTCGGCGTCGCCGGCGCGGTTTTATTAGCGGTGCCATTGTGGCGAGGCTATAATGGTTTAGACACCGGCGCCCACTGTGTTTGTCGTTCATTTTTTTCCAGCTTTGGAATTTTCAATTAAGAGCTGCAACAAGGACAAGCCCGCGCGCATTGTCCCTGCGCCGAACAATCATTCGCTCGATTTTATTACACGCTCGCTGCCCTTTTTTTTTCTTTTAACCCGGGCTTTTTAACGAGAGCTTGTCGCATTTCAATCTCGCGATGAATGCCTCGCGAGTGACGATTCGATCTCGCGAGAGATTTTTCGCGCGATCGAGTGAAACGATTTCTTTTTTTTAACGGTCGGAGAGGTTTCGCGTTGCGGGCGTATTGCTCGATGACCTACATAATACTTTGGCAATCAGAAAATTTGCAAAAAAGAGAGAGAGAGAGAGAGAGAAAAGTAGCGAGGGCGTCGCACTATTGCACGGATAAAGGCAAATAGGACGTTAGCGGATAAAAA